AAAAGTAAGACGACAAAACCCAGTGAATCGGTGTGGTAGAAAGTCGTGCGCCTCCACGTGCCGTCAGATTCTCACATGGTATCAGGGTTGGGCACATCCCAATTATTGTTACCAATATTGGGCCCATTGGGCCCCTATTTATGTTATTTACGCTCTAGTTTGCAGGCTTGGGCGTGAGGGGGGTGTTGAGTTGTCCCACATCGAAGTGATTTGAGGTTATTGATCTTCTTATATGGTCTTGTGCAATCCTTACCTCATAAGCTAGCTTTTGCGGTTGAGTTAGGCCTAAGGTCCACTTATCATGGTATCAAAGCCAGGTCCATCCCAATCATTGTTACCGATGTTGGGCCCCCATTTATATTGTCCACGCTCCAATTTGCAATTTGCAGGCTTGGGTATGAGGGGGGTGTTGAGTTGTCCCACATCGATCCTTGGTCTCCTTATATGGTCTTGGGAAATCCTCATCTCATAAGCTAGCTTTTGGGGTTGAGTTAGGCCTAATGTCCATTTATCAGAGGCTATTTGTTCAGGAGGCTCCTTTTGGCGCTATTCTGATGGGGGATAATTTTAATACAGAAAAGAAGTCTATGTCAATCAATTTGTCGTGATTGGAGGTTGATTGCTGAGAATAACCTCTTATTGCGTTGTGATCTAACACAGGATTTGTTGTAGTTGTGACATTGACCGTATTTAGTTACTCATTAGCTATATCGATAAAATATATATTTTCAGCTAATGTTTTTGGGAGTTTTTGTTGTGCTTGAAGGCTGATTGTTGAGGAATCACCTCATTGCATTGTGATTGGCTAGGGGATTTGTTGCATTGACTGGCACCAATTGGTTAATATCATACATAGTTCAGCTCACATTTGTGCAAGAATTGCTTAAAGAACAATGGCATCTGATTTCCACCTGCTTGTTTTGGTGCTTTTGATGGAAATGAATCTCACAGCCCTTTAAAGGAATTTAACTCTCATTTGCAGTCATATTTTGCATGCTTTGTTCTGGTGGGGTAGAAATCTTGATCAGATCAGGAGAAGATATCATTATAAGATGTTGGAGCCTCTTGATACGATTTTTGTTAGCTATGAATGAAAGATGGCGTGCTTTCATCTTAGGCCTCTTTATCCCTAAGTCGGCATACATTAAACTATTTCCATGGAATTGTCTCGAGATTTCGGAAAATTCTAACAAGGCTAGCTTTATAAGTGAGATGATATGTGCATTAGTGTGCTAATATTCATATATTGTTGTTAGATTTACACGCTTTTATAGATATGTTATGTTTTCTCATTTAACTGAGAACATGCTTTATGGAAGGCTGATAAACTTGATACTCCCTCCGTTTCAATTTATGTGAACTAGTTTGGCTCGGTATGGAGTTTATGAAAAAAGGAAGACTTTTGAAGCTTGTAGTAGTAAAACCTTAAAGGGTAAAAGCTTTTGTATGGCTTTCAATTTGTGTGTTTATAAATGTTTCTCATCAAGGGTAAAATGTGTAAAGGGAAAAATTAAAGTTAAATTATTTCCAAATATAGAAAGGTGTCATTTTTTTTGAAATGGATTAATAAGGAAAGTGTGTCACGTAAGTGAAAATGGAGGGAGTATTTTATTACTTTTGATTGCTTGAATAAATTGATAATTATTCACTCTATCTTAATCAGCCAACACTAAAGTAGTTGAGATAATTTCTTGGAGGTGAACTTTCTTTTGTTTAACCATCTTGCTAAAATAACCTGACATATACATGCATGTACGTGAAAAGTTACAACTTTAGTTCCCTATCTCTCTTCTCTTTTTGCTTTCTGAAAGTTTTGGTGCAATTTTCTTCTCATGATTATGACAATGGAGGATGGATGAAGTAGAGAGAAGAGAATTCGTTGGGAAAAAGGTCAAACTTGCTGCTGCAGAACTTGCAAAATTATCAAGACGAGTATGTGGTGAGTGCTTTAGCATCTTATATGTGAAAGACTTTGACTGATTACTTTAGTTGAAATGTATATTGAAGCAAAGAGACTTAAGTGACTTTTGAGACTAGAATATTCCGACAGTGTCATTCTACTGGAATGTATAAACATAAAAGAGAAGAGGTCTCGATTAACTGTTGGTAAGTTCACAAGGAAAAACTCCACAATTATGCAATAACTAAAATCGTTCGACAGGAATGTATAAACATAAAAGAGAAGAGGTCTCGATTAACTGTTGGTAAGTTATTCACAAGGAAAAACTCCACAATTATGCAATAACTAAAATCGTTCGACAGGAATGTATAAACATAAAAGAGAAGAGGTCTCGATTAACTGTTGGTAAGTTATTCACAAGGAAAAACTCCACAATCATGCAATAACTTAAACCGTTCGACCACATTGCTCATGGTATGATATGTACGAAGTGATGAAAATGGTCAGTATGACGACTTATTATCTAGATTTAAGAATTGAAATTCTCTACATTGACGAGAAAGGCATTTGAATCTATTTCCTTTCACTTTTTTAAATGAAGGATCTGAAAGAATTGATCTTTCTTTTCATCAAGGCTATGATCACGAAAAGATAATATATTTGGCATTCTCGAGGCTGGGAGGCCCTTTTTCTGCTATACAAACACTTTATATCCTCGTAGTCGATAGGCTTAGTTAGTCTTTTTTATTTTTGATTTTGGTGTAATAAGGAGCTCAACAAGCAGTAATAACAGCACTAGCAGTGAAATCACAGCTTCTCGGTAGTTCCAGCTACCAAAATTTCTAGAACTACACAGACTTGATTCCTTTATAGCCAAGGATATGTAGGCAACCTCCGAAGCAAAGTTCAGTCAGACTTTTTCAAAAAATGCTTCCAAATGGAGTACCAAACGGGCAAAAATTGCTCGTAATTGCTCACTTTATCTTTGCCCGAAAACTCTTCATGTTCTCGAGCAAAGAAGGGCAGCTGTGGGCACCTAATTTTTGCCCTGTATGGAAATAACTCCTAAAAATAGACCAAAAATAATTTTAATGGATTTTAGAAATTTTTCTTTATTTAGTTGCATTTCATGCATGTTTAATATTTTAAAATCATAAGAAAAATCATAAAAATTATCACATTTTAATCTCATGCTATCTTAGGTTCAATTTGCATTTAGGAATTAATTACATTGTTAAGTACATCATTTAAATAACTAAAAATAAAAAAAATGCATTCTTAAATTAGTTAATTAATTAGGCAAAATAAATAAATAGGCTAGCCATATACAAATTAGATTCAATTAAAGTTTGAGTTTTAAATGGCTAGAGTTTGCAAAAATCTGATATTGAAAAGAAAGACAATAGTTGGGCTTGCCTCCATTGCACACTAATTTGGACCCAAAAATCGGTGGCCCAATGTCTTAAAAGACCCACCCACCTTAAATCCGGTCCAACCCATCTTTAACCAAAATGGACCCCCCTCCCCTAGAAAAATTTTCATAAAGCGCTATCTTTTAGTAGTAATTAGTCATCTATAGATACCATTTGCTATATTACGGAATATAGATACCTTTTCCGTGGTTATAAGATGATGTATTTAAGCTATTGTATTCATGAATACAGTAGCAAAAATAGGCGTGAATTAGGGAAGTCCATCTAATTAGTTGTTGTATTCGAATGTATTCAACTGTATTCATGGAGTGAAACATGGGATTACAGCTGGATAAATTATTGTATTCGACTGTATTCACTGCGTGAAATAGGGGATTACACTGTTTTTAAAACGAAAAGTGAATCAATTAACATAATAGACTCTTAATATAACTCAACAAACTCAATTATAACACACAAATTTAGTATTTTCAGTTATAAAAAAGATTCTCAACCGCAAAATACCCAAAAACATAGCAATCTTCAGAGAAATTATATAATACATCTGAATACATAAATTATATTAATTAAAAAAAATATATGAATACATTCATGGCATATAGCAAGGCAATGAATACAATGAAATAGATAGAATACAGAGGGATACATTGAAATACAATGCGAAAAAAAGACACTGAATACAATGAAATACATGGAATACAATGAGATACATTGAATTACAATGGAAAAAAAGATAGTGAATACAATGAATACATAGAAATACAGCGAGATACATTGAAATGCTCTTAAAAAAGGTAACAAAATCTTCAAATTGCTCAACCACAAACTTCAGACGACCTATTTTAGTCGACAATTTTCCGACGACCCATCGGATTCTGACCATGATTCCATAAACAGCGATGAGAGAAAGAAGAAGAAAACGAGAAAGATCAGTGAAGAAGAAATTGCTAGCATCTGTAACGCATCTGATATCAGTAGTCAATTTCTGATATCATCTGATATCAGTAGTCAATTTACCATTGCATCACAACTATGTTCAGGTTCTTAATTTCTTCAATGCATGACCAAGAGAATATAGTTGTATGTTCACTTCAGGGGCAATGTCTACATTAAAGCTTGTTGGGGAGACCTTCCCCTGGAGCAATCAAAGCAGTTTTATACATTCAATGGAGAATCATAACAACGTCCTGGGGATTAGGGAGTATCCTAAATTGAATAAACATTTTCATCAATTTTGTCATGCAGAGTTCTCATGTATTAATTTTCTCAGAAAGCTTTCTTCTTTGGTTGTATATTCAATTGCTTAATCTGCGGTACTCATTCCTGTTTCAAAATGGTACTCTTTTTCACTAAACATTCTAATCCACTATATCCGCAGTCGTCGGATGCAGGAGCCGGAGCAATTTCTGAAGTGGGCTTTGCACAAATCCGGTTGAAAGAGGAGGAGATTGGGAATGTGGAAGAGATGTGATGTATCAAAGTAGAGAGAAAGAAAATAGTATAACTGATTAGCGTATTTAGTGATTTAGGGCTAGTATGTAACCAAAATTAAATATTTTGCTATAAATCTTAAAAAATATCTATAAAATATAATTTTTTTAAATGATATTTATTTAAAATAAATTACTGTATCCTCCTAAATAAATAAAAAAAAGACCCTAATTTTTTCCGAACCTTGTAGCAGCTTTCCCCTCTCTTCTTCTTCTAGTTCTTCTTCTTCTTCTTCTTCATTTTCACTCTTATTCTAAGACACACTCACTCACCTCTTACTTGTATAAATGACCACACACACGCGAAAAACACGCTAAAGCAGGCTGGAAATTCTGGATTTCGGATTCGAAAATTCGAAGTTATTCTCAAAGTTCAAAAATAATTGAAGCAAAATCCTGCAATTGAAGATTAGATTTCAGATCTAAAATTCTAAAGAAAAAGAGTTTTAGACAAAAAAAAGAAGGGAAGTTGTAATTTGAGAGAGTAGCTTCAACTCCTTCTAGTTTTGACGTCGATTCTCTGGGCTTGCTAAGGAGTTCCGTCGTTGTCAAGTTTCGGCTCGTTTGTCGCTGGTCTGTTGCTGTTCTTTTGTCCCAGCTCTGTTGATTCACGAGTTCTGCCATCATTTGGTTATTTTGAGGTCTTCATTTGGCTTTTGAGGTATGACCTTAATTTCAGTCATGTAATTGTACTGCCGGATGTTCTAACTGCTATAAAACCTGCTTATATATTCTTCATTTCAATATTTTGTGAACAACAACAACAACCCAGTATAATCCCAATTAGTGAGGTCTGGGGAGGGTAGTGTGTACGCAGACCTTACCCCTATCCTACCATGGGTAGGGAGGCTGTTTTCAAATAGACCCTAGGCATCCCTCCCTCCAAGAATTTCCCACCATGCTCTTGGGAGACTCGAACTCACAACCTCTCGGTTGGTTAACCATGTAATCTGCACATTGATGTTAAATGCTTGGTGAAGTTGGTCTTTGGAGTATGTGGTAGATCTCAGTAGCCCCTTATGAAAATGAATAAGATTTTCCAATTCATTGTCACACATTGTTTTATAAAGGAAAAGTTGCACCTTGTGCTGCACATATTCCAAACGGTAAAGTGGTTAGCCAAATAGGAATCATGTTGATAAGTAGCTTCAGTTCTTCCACCTTGGTATCAGTTGTTTTCATATTTGGGTTCATATTTTTTATAAATGCTGAGGTTGGAGGATGGATGAAGATTTCGGATTTGTGACAACAAAAACATAAGGGGTGTAAAGCAATTAATTGAGATAATACTGGATAAGGTAATTTACTGATGATAACCAATTTAAGTTTCCATCATCCTAGTCCATAAAATTGGTACCTCTGCCCCTCTGTTTGATAAGATAAAGTGAACCAATGTGTTCTGTTTATTTAGTATCACTTTAATATGTCGTTGGATCCTTGCCTCTCAACCAGGAATAGCAAATTAGAACTAGCCATAAACAAAATCTTTCACCTTGCTGGTCATTTGCACTCCTAATAGTCGTGTATGGTGTAACTAGTCAATGTCTGAATGGAAAATCATTAAACAATTTCTGACGTTTGCGCTTGTGCTTAAAGTACTCACGTGAAAATTCTAAGTTAGCGAGTTTATTAGTTTAAAAAGAGGAGTTATTGTGTAGTTCGAGAATGGGGAAGTACTGCAACGCCTCTTGTTTTTATTGTAATTTGGAGTAATGGCCGTGTTTTGTTATTTCCAATGAGCTACTTGACTGCCCTTTCTATGCCTCTAAATGAGAATTTGTCGTTATTTGTTTAATCGAGATTAGCTCTTGACCATTTTGCTTGTTCATCTTGATAAGCCTTTTACTAATCAACTACTAGTTTTTAAGCTCATATTTGGTATGCTCGTAACAAATAATCTCAAATTAGCTTTAGGAAAATAGTTATGAACATTCGTAGCATGCTTTAGGCGCGATTAATAATAAATCATAGTGGCCATGGGTACGGTTCCCGTGGCATAGTCATGATACGTAAATCACATTCGTGTGCATTTCATGTGACCCGACCGTAACTTCGAATAATAATAAAATAAACATGTCGTAAATCGCGGGTGCATTTCATGTAGCGCGGTTTGCAACGTGCACCAAAATGGCAAGTGTACGACATCGTGACTTGTTCCAAAAATAATTCCATAAATACTAAAAGTGGTTTATAAAGTTAAAATGCACAATAGGTTTAAAACATATAATAAATCAGATAATTAGGCCAATTATTAATAGTTGAGCGACCGTGCTAAAACCACGGAATCCGGGAATGCCTAACACCTTCTCTCGGGTTAACAGAATTCCTTACCTAGTTTTTCTGGTTTCGCATACTTTTAAATGAAGTCTACTTTCCTCGATTTGGGATTTAAAATAAACCGGTGATTTGGGATACCATAAATATCCCAAGTGGCGACTCTGGAATAAATAAAATAATCCCATTTCGAATTATGTCACTTAAATTGGAAAATCTCCCTTATACCCCCCTCGGGTGTAAAAAGGTGCGACAACTTTAATTGTATGAGTTAGCCGCTTTATCAATATTTCATCAAGCACGAATATTAGTGCTTCCTGAGACCAATGATTTTGATACTTTTCCTGATGTGCCAAAAAATAATGTAAAATCTCTATCATCACTATCATTGTATGTGGTTGTATTTAAGTAGTGTTAATTTTGAATGATCTGGTATCTTGTGTTTTCGATCCTGACCTTTCTTCTTTTATGTATATATTCTTTTATTGTTTCTCTTCCTCTAAATTATCTATGTTATGAGTTTTCATTCATAAGTTCTTTTCGAATAAATTTGAGTTGGAAATTTTTATTGCATTATACTGCCAATATGTATGATGAGTATGGATTAGATTAGCTCTTATTTCTTTTATTTTATTCTTTTTTGTTGATTAAGGAGCGCAATTGATCAAATTTGAGATGAATTTTTTTTATTCTTTTACTTCTCAAGGGTAACGACAGGACCAAGCATCTATATGTTAGTATATTTTTGTCAATTGTCAGACAATTCTTATAGTATGAGAGTATTTGAATTATAAAGCTCAATGCGGTGTCTATAGGTGAAATGAAATTTAGGAAGTTCCAACTGTTTTTTTTGAAATTCCAATTTTATTCTAAATGAGGATCAATTTGTTTTGGCACAACATTTAATATGTAGTTCATAATTTTACTATGCCTTTGCTTTTTTTATTAAATTCTACCTCAATTACTGCTTTAATTCTATTAATAGTTATTTATATGGCGAAGAATATAAGGTTTTAATAATTTTTTATTATTGACGCAATATTCACGTGCAACGCACGTACTAGAAAACTAGTATATATAAAATAGATAGTATTGTCATGTCGGTTTGGTTTGTTTTATAATTCATACTAAACCAAATTGTACCAACTACATGTCGATCTTTCGAGCCAGTTTGATTCATCTTCCGGTTCAGTTTGAGTTTTTTGATAATTTTTTGAACACTCATCATTATTGATGTTCCCCGCGCATAACGGGAGCTTAGCGCACCGAGCTGCCCTTTTTTCTTTTTTTACTCATCATTACTGATGTTGAATTTTCTTAAGATAAACAAAAAGATTTAGCAACAGTGAATTATGGCATAATACCTCTTTCTCGTCCCGCTGAGATGCACACACTAATACATCCTCTAAACTGATTATGACAGGAGCCCAGCCAAGCTTTTTCCACGGAATTTTAATACTCAACTTACCAATATGACCTACAAAAGCACACAAATAGGATCTCATCAAGAAAAGAAAACTTGGATATACAATGTCTAAGAAAACAACTTATAGATTTTTTATAAGTACAAAATGGCCTAAATGTTACAAAGTCATCAAGAAGCATCAAACTCAAGAAGCATCAAACTTAAAGGAAGCAAACGGGAAAAGTAGAAAGAAACCAAAGTCAAAGGAACAATAAACTTCGAATTCTATGAGTAATAAACTTCGAATTCTGTTAAAATCTAGTTGACATCCGATTAATTCAACAAAAGCTATTTGGCATGCATTTTGGTGGAATCAGAATGATGACAAGAATTCCTAATTCCGATTCTTTTTGGTGTTAGGGCCTTCTCGCGTGCACCTCAACTAATTCCACCTGTTACCTGCTACCTCCCACCAGCACAAGCATCAGGTAATTCTTCCTACCAAGGCTTAAGTAGATGGGAAGAAACCACCTAGTATTTTTTGTCTCCATTGGGTTTTGAACCTGAGACCTGATGGTTATTCCATGTTTTATTGACCACTTGGTCAGACCCTCGGGTGCCTTGAATCCGAAATTTAACTCAATCTGGTGTCTTTTTATTACCAGAAATTAAGATTATATGTAGCACACTAACCATATCAGCCAAAGTTAAGCTTCCCTAATGTTTGTTATATTACTTCACAATACTTAAATATAACTAAGTAATACCAACTAATGTCAAAAATTGGTGAGGGCGGACAAGTGAACACCTTACGGAGAGCTACATTGAATAACTGTGAAATGTTACTAAGAAGAAGCGGATAGTGCTTGATGGGGGAATATATCAGATGAGCAGGCTACAACAGTGAACAAAGTTTAAACATTTGGCATTAATAAAAAGTCAAAAATGAAGGTGATAGGATGAATATAGGACAAGGTGTTCAGGAAAAGCACAAGTAACATTAATTTGCTGCCTTTGTGTGAAGAAATGAAAGGATGACAATCACCTTATTTAACGCAACATGGGAATAAAAGTTTGGAATCTCATGCTGAATGTACGAACATAGACATAAAGCTACAAATAGATGAATTAAGCCGGTCTTTTTATCATTTATTATCAGAACCCCAATAGAGGGAAAATATGTTGGACCCTTTGAAGTAGCAGGACTACGAGATTCAGATTTTTTACCTTTCTTCAAAGTAAATGGCAATTGGAGATAATCGAAAGCCTCGAGAATAAATTCCACATCTTCTAATAATACTTCTTCTGCATTGCATAGATTAAACTCACTTTCTACCACTTATAACCAAATCTATTGGAGACATGATAATGGCAAAAATAAAAGAGAAGAAAAAAAGAAATTAGTAAAAGATGCATATACTGGACGAATGACAGTCCTTCAACAAAATTTTACCACCTGACGCATTACCACTACTATATTGGTCTTTTCACTAGATTCCATTATCATCTACATAATAATCTCTTTGAATTTTCTCAATTTTTTTTCTCCAAGCAGGTTAGCACTTTGTATTAGTATATAAACAATATAAAAGAAAAAAAATTGTGGTGAATAACAATAAGCATGCGGTAGAATATGGGGTTTAGTTGAGTACTTACCATTCCATAAGGTGATTTTCAGCTGCTCCTTTTGGATGTCCTTAATATATTGGCCTAGATAACCCAATATCACTTGCCTAACGAGCCCTTCAAACATCCTAAAAACTCACAAATCAAAAACCGTATATTATAAAATGAATGATCTTTTAAGTTGTGGGAGCATAAAACAACTGCCCGCGCACTGCAACCCAATTCACTATAACTGAATAGGATTCTATGGGATGAGAAATAAAAGCTATTATTGCACAGTAGACGGAGAAAGGAATCAAAGATACTTTCGCAGGAGGAAGAATTCCGATGCCGAGACGGTATTTTGTTTGGGACTTAAAATTGGAAACGTTTCCGTCAAATATAAAAAATAAAAAAAATTATGGGAGAAAGACACAAATGCCCATGCAGGGCAAAATAATAACGGTCGATGCCCCTTTTTCCCCTATTTATCAGCGATGCCTTTACATATTCACCCATTCCTATCATCTTAGCAAAATCGCAAACATGCGCGATAATCAACGAAAAAGGGCCAAATATATTCATGTACTATGAAAAAAATTAAATATACCTTTCGTTATATTTTTGGTCCAAATATATCTATCTATTTATCTCGAAAAATGTGAGTAACAATTAAAGATAATTTGTGATTTTAAAGATATGTGATATATTCTAATATTAGTGATTATACAAGTAATATTACTAGTGATTATACAAGTAATATTACTAGTGATTATACGAGTAATAATACTAGTGATTAAACTAGGTATATTTACTTAAACTAGGTCAATATTAAACTAGGTATATTTATACATTATACATGTTTCCTCGTCTATTAGAACAACTAGGTATATTTACTTAAAATCAGTAAGTCAATATTAAACTAGGTATATTTACTTAAACTAGGTCAATATTAAACTAGGTATATTTATACATTATACATGTTTCCTCGACTATTAGAACAACTAGGTATATTTACTTAAAATCAGTAAGTCAATATTAAACTAGGTATATTTACTTAAACTAGGTCAATATTAAACTAGGTATATTTATACATTATACATGTTTCCTCGACTATTAGAACAACTAGGTATATTTACTTAAAATCAGTTTGTCAATATTAAACTAGGTATATAAACTAGTTTAATATTCAAATCACTAGGTCAATATTAAACTAGTTTATATACCTAGTTTAATATTGACCTAGTGATTATATACCTAGGTCAATATTAAACTAGTAAATATACCTAGTTTAATATTGACCTAGTGATTTTAAGTAAATATACCTAGTTTAATATTGACATAGCTTAAGTAAATATACCTAGTTTAATCACTAATATTATTATCACCAGGTCAATATTAAACTAGGTATATAAACTAGTTTAATATTGACCTAGTGATTTTAAGTAAATATACTTAGTTTAATATATAGTTTAATATTGACCTAGTGATTTTAAGTAAATATACCTAGTTTAATATTGACCTAGTGATTTTAAGTAAATATACCTAGTTGTTCTAATAGACGAGGAAACATGTATAATGTATAAATATACCTAGTTTAATATTGACCTAGTGATTTTAAGTAAATATACCTAGTTGTTCTAATAGACGAGGAAACATGTATAATGTATAAATATACCTAGTTTAATATTGACATAGCTTAAGTAAAATGTAAATGTACCTAGTTTAATCACTAGTATTATTACTTCTATAATCACTAGTAATATTATTTGTATAATCACTCGTATTATTACTTGTATAATCACTAGTATTAGAATATATCACATATCTTTAAAATCACAAATTATCTTTAATTGTTACTCACATTTTTCGAGGTAACAGATATATTTGGACCAAAAATATAACGGAAGGTATATTTAATTTTTTTTCATAGTACATGAATATATTTGGCCCTTTTTCGTTAATTATCGCGCATGTTTGCGATTTTGCTAAGATGATAGGAATGAGTGAATATGTAAAGGCCTCGCTGGTAAATAGGGGAAGAAGGGGCATCGACCGTTTTTATTTTGCTCTGCATGGGCATTTGTGTCTTTCTCCCATATTTTTTTTTATTTTTTATATTTGACGGAAATGTTTCCAATTCTAAGTCCCAAACAGAATACTGTCTCGACATCGAAATTCTTTCTCCGGCGAAAGTATCTTTGATTCCTTTTTCCGTCTACTGTGCAATAATAACTTTTCTTTCTCATGCCATTGAATCCTATTCAGTTATAGTGAATTGCGTTGCAGTGCACGTGCAATTGTTTTATGCTCCCACAACTTAAAAGATCATTCTTTTTACAGTATACGGTTTTTGATTTGTGAGTTTGTAGAATGTTTGAAGGGCTCGTTAGGCAACTGATATTGGGTTATCTAGGCCAATATATTAAGGACATCCAAAAGGAGCAACTGAAAATCACCTTATAGAATAGTAAGTACTCAACTAAACCCACAATTCTATCGTCTGCTTATTGTTATTCACCGCAATTTTTTTCTTTTATATTGTTTAATACTAATACAAAGTGCTAACCTGCTTGGAGAAAAAAAATTGAGAAAATTCAAAGAGATTATTATGTAGATGATAATGGAATCTAGTGAAAAGACCAATATACTAGTGGTAATGCGTGAGGTGGTAAAAATCAATTGGCTCTTTTCACATAGTACAGGGGTATATTTGGCTCTAATGTATCGGGATACGTGCTCGCATCGGCCTTCGACATCGGGAGGATTCTCGATACCAAAGTCTTTCTTGATGATGCAATTATCGGGGGTGATTTCCTCTAGCGTTGGCGGCACCACCGGTTTGGCCGGCCGGGTGGCAGAGGAAGATGATGCTCTATCCTTTTTAGGGACTGTCTTGGAGGTTTTGGCCATGGTTATAAGCTAAGTAATACGGGAGCACAAGGATGTGGTGTTTCAGGAAAGAGCTTGGCGATTTCCAGCGCTTAAAGAGGCAGAGGAAATGGGTGATTGGAAAAAGAGATGAAGATGGCAAAGGGAAGAAGAAATAGTAAAGTTCTTTACTTGGAGGAATCACCTCATATTTATAGACGGGCAATGACGGTTCGGCGGCATTAGTGTCCGACCAATACTGGCATGTATTCAATGTTTTTGGGGAAGCGGACCTACGGGACGTTTCGGTCACTTCGAACGCTTGCATCACGGGGATGATGTCATCACTAAGGACTTCGGGAATCCAAATCGTTTCATATCATTTCATTCTAAGAAACGCGGGGACTATCTGTATACGGTCAAAATCAAGGAGCCGAATTTCGAGGTCTTAAATTGGGCTATAAGCCCGAGTCCGGGCGACTCAAAGTGGAGGTTGGACCCGGCTGAATGACACACACCTCGAGGAAGCAGATCGAAGGCCTTGCACGACCTACATCGAGGGCAGCACAATCTCAAAGACTCTCAAGAAATATCGGGAATTTCTCAAAGACACGTGGATCATGGAATAAATTATAGGATAAGATTTGTACGAAATAGTACAAGTCCGTACTAGGTCGTTATACAGCTGTACCAATAGAATTTTTATCATAATTAGAAATTTACCATATTAGTATAAAGGGGACCCCAATCATTTGTAAGGATTATCTCATTCACTGCAATAGAACATGCCACTCTACTTTTATTTAACGTGCTCAACAATTATTCTTCAGCTTTATTGTCTTTATTTTATTGTTCATACTTTATTGTTTTTAACTGACGTCGAGGTCCCTGGGATAATCAAGCTCGAGGCCCCTATTGCTCTAACAAACACTGATTTGGTTCATCAATTCTTCTTACTTAAGCTTAATATTACTTGTATAACCACTAGTATCACAATATATCACATATCTTTAAATTCATAAATTATCTTTAATTGTTACTCACATTTTTCGATGTAAACAGATATATTTGGACAAAAAAAAAACGAAAGGTATATTTAATTTTTTTCATAGTACATGAATATATTTGGCCCTTTTGCGTTGATTATCGCGCATGTTTGCAATTTTGCTAAGATGATAGGAATGAGTGAAATGTAAAGGCGTCGCTGGTAAATAGGGAAAGAAGGGGCATCGCCGTTATTATTTTGCTTTGCATGGGCATTTGTGTTTTTCTCCCATAATTTTTTTTATTTTTTATATTTGATGGAAACGTTTCCAATTCTAAGTCCCAAACAAAATACCGTCTCGGCATTAGAATTCTTTCTCCGGCGAAAGTATCTTTGATTCCTTTCTCCGTTACTGTGCAAAAATAGCTTTTCTTTCTCATGCCATAGAATCCTATTCAGTTATAGTGAATTGGGTTGCAGTGCACGTGCAATTATTTTATGCTCCCACAGCTTAAAAGATCATTCTTTTTATAGTATACGGTTTTTGATTTGTGAGTTTGTAGGATGTTTGAAGGGCTCGTTAGGCAACTGATATTGGGTTATCTAGGCCAATATATTAAGGACATCCAAAAGGAGCAGCTGAAAATCACCTTATGGAATGGTAAGTACTCAACTAAACCCCCAATTCTACCGTCTGCTTATTGTTATTCACCGCAATTTTTTTTCTTTTATATTGTTTATACTAATCCAAAGTGCTAATCTGCTTGGAGAAAAAAAATTGAGAAAATTCAAAGAGATTATTATGTAGATGATAATGGAATCTAGTGAAAAAACCAATATAGTAGTGGTAATGCGTCAGGTAGTAAAATTTTGTTGAAGGACTGTCATTAGTCCAGTATATGCATCTTTTACTAATTTCTTTTTTTCTTCTCTTTTATTTTTGCCATTATCATGTCTCTAGTAGATTTGGTTATAAGTGGTAGAAAGTGAGTTTAATCTGTGCAATGCAGAAGAAGTATTATTAGAAGATGTGGAACTTATTCTCGAGGCTTTCGATTATCTCCAGTTGCCATTTGCTTTGAAGAAAGGTAAAAGTTCTGAACCTTATAGTCCTGCTACTTCAAAGGGTCCAACATATTTTCCCTCTATTGGGGTTATGATAATAAATGATAAAAAGACCGGCTTAATTCATCTATTTGTAGCTTTATGTCTATGTTCGTACATTCAACATGAGATTCCAAACATTTATTTCCACTTTGTGTTGAATAAAGTGATTGACATCCTTCTATCTCTTCACACAAAGGCAGCAAATTAATGTTACTTGTGCTTTTCCTGAACACCTTGTCCTATATTCATCCTATCACCTTCATTTTTGACTTTTTATTAATGCCAAATGTTTAAACTTTGTTCACTGTTGTAGCTTGCTCATCTGATATATTCCCCCGTCAAGCACTATCCGCTTCTTCTTAGTAACATTTCACAGTTATTCAATGTAGCTCTCCGTAAGGTGTTCACTTGTCCGCCCTCACCAATTTTTGACATTAGTTGGTATTACTTAGTTATATTTAAGTATTGTGAAGTAATATAGCAAACATTAGGGAAGCTTAACTTTGGCTGATATGGTTAGTGTGCTACATATAATCTTAATTTCTGGTAATCTTAATTCAGGGCACCCGAGGGTGTGACCAAGTGGTCAATAAAACAGGGAATAACCATGAGGTCTCAGGTTCAAAACCCAATTGAGACAAAAAATACTAGGTGGTTTCTTCCCATCAACTTAAGCCTTGGTAGGAAGAATTACCTGATGCTTGTGCTGGTGGGAGTAGCAGGTAACCGGTGGAATTCGTTGAGGTGCACGCGAGAAGGCCCTAACACCAAAAGAATCAGAATCAGGAATTTTTGTCATCTTTCTGATTCCACTAAATGCATGCCAAATAGCTTTTGTTGAATTAATGGGATGTCAACTAGATTTTAATAGAATTCGAAGTTTATTGCTCATAGAATTCGAAGTTTATTGTTCCTTTGACTTTGGTTTCTTTCTACTTTTCCCGTTTGCTTCCTTTGAGTTTGATGCTTCTTGATGACTTTGTAACATTTAGGCCATTTTGTACTTATAAAAAATCTATAAGCTGTTTTCTTAGACATTGTGTATCCAAGTTTTCTTTTCTTGATGAGATCCTATTTGTTTGCTTTTGTAGGTCATGTTGGTAAGTTGAGTATTAAAATTCCGTGGAAAAAGCTTGGCTGGGATCCTGTCATAATCAGTTTAGAGGATGTATTAGTGTGTGCATCTCAGCGGGACGAGAAAGAGGTATTATGCCATTATTCACTGTTGCTAATCTTTTTGTTTATCTTAAGTAAATTCAACATTAATAATGATGAGTAAAAAAAGAAAAAAAGGGCAGCCCGGTGCGCTAAGCTCCCGCTATGCGCGGGAAACATTAGTAATGATGAGTGTTCAATAAATATCAAAAAACTCAAACTGAACCTTGGAAGATGAATCAAACTGGCTCGGAAGATCGACATGTAGTTGGTACGATTTGGTTTAGTATGAATTATAGAACAAACCAAACCGACATGACAATACTATCTATTTTATATATACTAGTTTTCTAGTACGTGCGTTGCACGTGAATATTGCGTCAATAAAAATTATTAAAACCTTATATTCTTCACCATATAAATAACTATTAATAGAATTAAAGCAATAATTGAGGTAGAATTTAATCAAAAAAGCAAAGGCATAGTAAAGATATGAACTACATATTAAATGTTGTGCCAGAACAAATTGATCCTCATTTAAAATAAAATTGGAATTTCAAAAAAACAGTTGGAGCTTCCTAAATTTGATTTCACCTATAGACACCGCATTGAGCTTTATAATTCAAATACTCTCATACTATAAGAATTGTATGACAATTGACAAAAATATACTAACATATAGGTGCTTGGTCCTATTGTTACCATTGAAAAGTAAAAGAACAAAAAATTTTCATCTCAAATTTGATCAACGACGCTCCTTAATCAACAAAAGAGAATAAAATAAAAGAAATAAGAGCTAATTTAATCCATACTCACCATACATATTGGCAGTATAATGCAATAAAAATTTCCAACTCAAATTTATTCGAAAAGAACTTGTGAATGAAAACTCATAACATAGATACTTTAGAGGAAGAGAAACAATAGAAGAATATATACATAAAAGAAGAAAGGTCAGGATCGAAAATACAACATACCCAGATCATTCAAAATTAACACTACTTAAATACAACCACATACAATGATTGTGATGGTAGAGATTTGACATTATTTTATGATTTTTTGGCACATCAGGAAAAGTATCAAAATCATTGGTCTCAGGAAACACTAATATTCGTGCTTGATGAAATATTGATAAAGCGGCTAACTCATACAATTAAAGCAAGATGGAATGCTTAGTTTATCTTGATACAACTGCATACAGTGTTATATGAAGTAGTTTCTCTTGGTTATTTTCGATGGAAAACCTGTTCCAATTTTTTTTTTTATTAGCCATTCATATAGCTTCATATGTATATGAATCTTTTCTGTAATTTGAACTCTATTACGAGTTTGTTTTAGTGCCTGCCTTACGTAGGAGATCGGAATCTCCAATTGCATTGAAAAGAAATAGGAGTAACAAAAAGTCACATTAGAAAATTCATAGTAGATCTCAAAAACCTAAATATTAGTTAAGTAAAAAAATAAAAGTATTAATTGTGATTCTTTATTCCTTTTTAACCTATGCATTTAAGGAAAAACAAAACTCTTAAAGTGACATTGCTGGAATATGCACCGATCTAAATGAATTTGGAACCAACTCATTCTCCTCTTCCATTTCCTTTTTAAATCTTACGGAAATTTTGATCTTTTTAATAAGAAACAAACACTTAATGTCTATTTACAATTTTATCCAACACAAAATGTTTATACGAAGGGTAAAAAAGGTGAACGACATTTCGATAGGGGCTTCGTGCTTTTAATATATATATATATATATTAAAAATTTGTTTAATTTTTTCTTAAAAAGCTGTCTAGACATAATCATAATCTTTCAGGATAACAACCAAAAAGTTCTCCTCAAGATCAGCCCCTTTGATTGCCCACGGGGTCAACCTCTAATGCCACATACCATTCTAACAGGATGGGGCTTGCTCATCGACATACTTTGTTATGAGGTTGTAGGAGTGCGACGAACTTAGACCAAGTCTACATAAACAACCTAAAGGCTTGGTCTAATATGAAAGTAGAGTAATGATCAATATAATTTTATAAGAAGGCTAAGAAAGAGGCGAAGCTAGCTGTCACGGCCAGTGTTTTAAAAGGCATTTTCGGGGCGAGCCCTAGGGCGAGGCGCACCAAAACGCCCCGGGGCGATGGTGTGGGGCGAAAGTCTCAAGAGGCGTAAGCCCAGCAATTCGGGGCGTACTCCCTTGCGTTCGGGGCGCATTTTTCTAGTGAGGCGTAAGCCCCAAAGATTTTTTCAAATTAAAACAAAATTTGTTGAATAAATCCTTCATATAATACCCAAATTCTAAAAATTCAGCTTGGTAATTACTCGAAAGTTTTAAAAAGGACTGAAATGCATTAAATTTAAAAGTTAAGACCTTTTTTATTGATTGAAGCCAAAATTCATGGTCTTTCCTAATTCTTTATCTTGTCCGCTAGTCTGCTAATATCTCCCAAAAGCAATGAATATTCACTTTTTTTACAAATACAAAGAGAACTACATTCTCCTTCATAGCAGCAAGTTCAAAGTGCAAATTGCTGGTTAGTCATCCTTTGCTAAAATAACCTGACATATACATGCATGTACGTGAAAAGTTACAACTTTAGTTCCCTATCTCTCTTATCTTTTTGCTTTCTGAAAGTTTTGGTGCAATTTTCTTCTCATGCTTATGACAGTGGAGGATGGATGAAGTAGAGAGAAGAGAATTCGCTGGGAAAAAGGCCAAACTTGCTGCTGCAGAACTTGCAAAATTATCAAGACGAGTATGTGGTGAGTGCTTTAGCATCTTATATTTGAAAGACTTTAACTGATTACTTTAATTGAAATGTATATTGAAGCAAAGAGACTTAAGTGACTTTTGAGACTAGAATATTCCGACAGTGCCATTCTACTGGAATGTATAAACATAAAAGAGAAGAGGTCTCGATTAACTGTTGGTAAGTTCACAAGGAAAAACTCCACAATCATGCAATAACTAAAACCGTTTGACCACATTGCTCATGGTGTGATATGTACAAAGTGATGAAAATGGTCAGCATGACGACTTATTATCTAGATTTAAGAATTGAAATTCTCTACATTGACGAGAAAGGCATTTGAATCTATTTCTTTTCACTTTTTTAAATGAAGGATCTGAAAGAATTGATTTTCTTTTCATTATCTCCAAACAACTAGTTGAAATAATTTTTTTTTTTAACGTAAGAGAGTGAGAGGAGAACAATTCGAAAGAGTTGAGCTCTCCTTGACTCCACATTCAAGTGATCAAGTCCTTGCTTCTCGGGTTCGTAGCACCAGCATGAGCTACTAGCCATTTTGTCCGTAGCACCAGCAGGAGCTACTGGCCATTTTATCTCTATGATCATTAATCTCATGTCCTCTCTTAGGCTCGACAACTTCATAATTATCATAGTAGCCATCAAGATTATCGCAATCACCAATTTCATCGGTCATTGTAGGCATCACTAAGAGTAGTATGAATGAGATTGTGGAGTATTACTTTCTTGCACCTTTCCATGTTGTGATCCACTTCTCAACTTTCTACTATATTTCCTCCTCAAGTATGATTCATTAGGATCAGCAAACACTCTAAAGTCATAAGTTGAAATTCTTTTCTCTACTACTATGTATGACATATTTTACAATTCCACTCATTACTTTTCTTGAACCTGCAAAAAGCAATTTGGAACAAAAGAAGTAGATAAGTGGATAAAAGAGTGGATAAAAGGACCTCACAAGCACTCTCTTTACTTGTATCACTCAAATTGTAGTACTCAACCCTCGTGTATACTTTATATCAAGGCTTTTTACATGTCACACACACATGCTTTCTACGACTCAAGGGATGCTCCTTAGTCTTTTCCAGGAACCAACTCCTCAAATGCTCAAAGCACGTTCAAAGTATTAGGTCCAGAATGGAGTTTAGGTTGAAAAAAACAAAAAGGACAATAAAACTATTGCCTCCGTCGCAATTTCAGTGGCATACTTTCCTTCTGCCATGTGAAGCGGAACCTTGGCGTAGCTGGTAAAGTTGCTACCATGTGACCAGGAGGTCAGGGGTTCAAGCCGTGGAAATAGCCTCTTGCAGAAATGTAGGGTAAGGTTGTACACAATAGACCCTGTGGTCAGGCCCTTCCCAGGACCCCGCGTATAGCGGGAGCTTTGTGCACCGGGCTGCCCTTTACTTTCCTTCTGATATTGTCCCAAAATAGATGTCATGCTTCCTTTTTTTTAGAAATAAATTAACTTTAAACTTTTCATTTTGCCCTTGATGATAAGAATTATAGCCATTCAAATGTCTGCCTTTTTTAGGCCACAAATTTCAAAAGTCTTTCTTTTTTAAACCCTTGCCCATTCAAACACCGCCACATAAATTTGGACGGAGCGTGCAATCTGGGTAGGTAGGTAACATACAATTAGTCAATGAAAAGAGAAGGTAAAAGGCACACAAGGAATAGACTTAAATAAGTATGAACGAATACTTACCTTATCTAGCAAGAAGTATAAGATCCATTATTTGGAATTGATTAGGGAAAATCTGTTGATTAGATTCAAAAAGGTATAACATCCAGAAACAATCCAAAACTAATTTTAACTCAAAAACACAAGCAAAATCAACTTGCTGTTGCAGGGTAAAAGAAAAATGCATTTGCATTTATTAGTGATGCATTCATACCCCAAGTGGACTTTTGAAATTTGAGGACTTAGGATAAAATCCTTTAATGTAAAATTTGCAGAAAAACCTTTTCCTCGAAATATTTTCTGCAATATTCTTCAACCCAAACTTTGATTTTGATTACTTCCATTTAAAAACTAGGTTTACCACCACCATATTTCAACGACCAACAAATATAAATGAAATTCATGGTTTTTGGGCCCTACATTGATCTTGGTTTTTCATTATAAATAAAAAAAAACAAAGGGTGTGATATAGACAGGTTAGGACTTTTCATGCGAAATGAATTTTGAATGATTACTTACAATAATGTCGAAAATCTTACTTATTCACTGATTAGGAAGTCAATTTGATTGAAAGCTTGATTAATCTTCATTTTGCCTCTCTTTAAGTCTTTGCTTAAGCAGGAAAATTAGAGTGTGGCAGAAGGTCGATAGTAGGGGAATTCACTTCCCGGAGATTTCTACTTTTTCTTTCAATTACAGAAGTTATCTGATTGTCCTTTTTTTTTGGGACTAAATAGCATACATACTTGATAGAAAGATAGTAAATGATAAAGTTGTAATGTTAATGCCTTCATCTCATCTAAAATTAGATTATTTGAACTCGACATGCAATTGTTAAGTGTCTTTCATAAGTATTTCCATACTTTGATTTCAATTAAATAGTTTAATGATGGGGGTAATGGAAGATGTCGAGAAGTTAGTGGTTAAAATTAGTGGACGGAACACAATTTTCCACAAAATTGTGAACCAATATGAGATATGATATATTGACAAGTTGAGGATTACCGGAATTTTATGTGAAGACACGAGTAAGCTATTAAAATGAAAATTGTCATATTTACAAGAATTTGCTGGAGACGAAAACATGGAGACGACCATTTAAAATAGACCGCCTTAGATTTTCATATCTAGAGAGGTAATGAGTAAAGAGGCCCTCCTCGATTGAGAAAATGGAGTAGGTTAGATTTTGAAGGAGATAAGGCCAGATAGATTCCATATGGTTTTCTATAAGCATTGCTGATGATCAGAGATGATGTGATCGAGGATGTTAATTTTTTTTTCACCAGCTAGGGAAGTTTGTAAAGAGTTTCTACGCTTCTTGCGTTGATGTCAAAAAGTTAGGAGCCGAAGGTTTTAGTCCTTTAAGCTAGGTGGAAATTTCTACAAGTCATTTTGAAACTTCTAACAGAGACATTGGAAAAGATAATTTGTAGGTTAGTGGCTGATATGCAGATGGCTTTTGTCAAAGAACAATAAATCATGGACACTGTGCTCATCGCAAATAAATGCCCGAACAGTAGAGAAAGCCGGGAGAAGTTGGCATCATGTGTAAGCTGGACATATAGAAAACCTAGCGATCATGTCAGTTGGTCCTTCTTGTTGAGTTTAACTGATTAACAAGAGATGACTTTTTGGGAAAAATGGGTGAAATGGATGAGATTTTGTATTTCCGTATTGAGGTTCTCAATGATAATAAATGGTGCCTTAGATGATTTTCCCTTCGTAGAGAAGGTTGAGACTAGGGTACTCTTGTCACCTTTCCCTTTTTTTTTTAAGGTAAGTTAACTTTTTTTAAGAAACTTCAAAAAAGTGCCAAGGGGGTGCCTTCAAAGTACAAGCAAAACGTCATAGGATAGCAATTACTAATAAAGCTTCTACATTTCCATAAAATCTAATAACTGCACCAAGTCTTCTACTACCCTTCCCTTACACAAAAAATATAGAGATTCTGCAAGCAACTATTTTTAGCGTAGGAATCTGGGTCCTCTGATCTTCAAGGCATCTTTTGTTCCCTGACTCATAAGGGAATGGTCATCCATGTCGTTTTCTTCCTTTTGCCTACCGATTGGCCCTACCAACTTTCCAGCAGACTTCTATCACTAACACGATTTGACATGACCCATTTCACACCATAGATATTAAGGAATCGATCCCAGATCTGTCTAGTCTGCCGGCAATGAGGAAACAAATGATTTACAGACTCCTGATTGTCAACATCCTCCTGGATATGTAAAGACTAGCTGATTATCTCGGAATGCCTTTAGGGGCAAATACAAGGTTGTTTCTTTTTGGCAAAGCATCATTGAATGATTTGAGATCTTGTAGGCTAGAAGAGACAGTATCCATCATTTGGAGGAGAGTGACATTGATCAGTAGTGTACTTGATTCACTCCCACCTACTTGAAGTCTCTATTCCTATTCCAGGTGCTGTGCTACAGTCCCTTGATAGGCTGACAAGGACCTTTTTATGGGAAGGAATGAAAGAAAAAAGGTCATTCCATCTAATAAAATGGGACATTGTGACTGGAAAAAGAAAAGGTGGGCTTGGCATCAGGAATCTTAAAAGAATCACAATAATAACTTATTAGTGAACAACAACTACAAACCCAGTATAATCCCATAAGTGGACCTTATCCCTACGTAGAAAGTAGTGAGGCTGTTTCCGATAGAACCTCGACTCAAGAAAAGATGAAAGAAAGAGTAGTAACAAGCAGTAATAACAACAAGAGAATAAGAAAGCTAAGCGAAAGGAACGATATGTAGTCGTAGAAATTTACCAATAATAGAATACAAGACTACCACTAATACTACTAGTACGGGAAAGAGACACTCTCGACTACCTACTAGTCTTCTACCTTAATTCTCGACCTCCACCCTTTCCTTAATAACTTATTAGTGAAATAACTAAAATGGCTATGGAGGTATGATAAGGAAGAGGGTGAGTTGTGGAAAAAGGTTAGAGCTTGTAAGACCGGGAAAATGAAGTTTGAAATACTAATCCTGTGAACGCTCCTCATATTTTACATTATGGAAACATATTAGCAGCCTTTGGTCAGATTTGAATCAAACACTGTAATTCGGTTGGGGGAAGAAAGAAGTACTAACTTTTGGCAAGATGCTTGGAGGGTCACACTTCTCTCAAGATCATATCCCTGGATTTTTTTAGTTTGGTTGTGGATACAGAGGTCACAAACAATCAGTATAGAATAGAGGGTGTGGAACCTAAACTTTAGAAGACAATGCTGAGGTGAATAGGCTAGCCCAATTACTCCATGACATTTAGCTCTACATCAGCAAAGGACTAGCAGAGATGTGGACACCTCAAGGATGGAACATCATTTTTAGAAGACAAATCAACGATTGGGAAGCACAAAGAGTGGTTGAATTCTTCTGTGCACTAGAGCAATTTAGTGGATTACAAGCAGGTGAAGATTTACTATGGTGGCAGTGTAGCAGTAAGGGTTTATTCAAAGTTAATGCAGCTTACAAGAGGATGAATTACTCCAACCAACAGATAGCTAATTGGCCTTGGAAACACATCTAGCAGATAGCCAATTGGCCTTGGAAACGCATCTGGAAAACAAAAATTCCTCACAAAGTTGCTTGTTTTGTGTGGCTACTGGCTAAGGAAGCAGTCCTTACACAAGATAATTTGACGAAAAAGGGTTTCATTTTATGTTTTTGATGCTTTTTGTATGGGGAAACAGTAGAGACAGTTAACCATCTTTTCCTTCACTGTAAGATAACATCTCATCTATGGAGAATTATTCTTAACCTCAAAGGTATTTCCTGGACCATGTCTGGGAAGGTTATAGATACTCTTAAAAGCTGGGAGGAAACACGACTACAAGCAAAGGACAGGACCAGATGGAGAATTATACTTGCTTGCATTTGGTGGACAATTTGGAAAGAGAGAAACTCAGATGTTTTGAGAATGTGGAGAATGGGGAGCAGAAGATCAAGTTAAACTTTATTTTGCTATTGCATTTTTGGTGTAATCAGATCTACACAATGATACTGACACCATTATTGATTCAATATAGAGAGTGTCAGTGATAGTTAGAGACTCTTGTGTATATGGTTTTAGTACTATCTAAGTACTGTTTTGCTACATATGAAATATAGAAAAGTTACCAGTTTTAAAAAAAAGAACATGTACATTTGGGTAGAGAAAAGGCAGACTCACTCACATGACAAGGACAATGCAGTGGGGTTTTCTCAGTTGTGTCATGCTGTAAGTGGTGAAATAATGGGGCAAATAGCTTTCGTCAATTACCATAAAAGGCGATTTGGAAATCAATTGCTCCATATAGAGCATCATGTTTTTTGTCGGTAGCAGCCTATGAAGCATGTCTCGCCTAAAACAACTAATCGATAAAGGAAATGGCCATGTCCAATAGGTATTTCTTGTGTTTTGGAGAAAAGGAGATCAATAACCACCCGTTCCTACATTGGAGTGCAGCAAGACAATTATGGGTGCTTTCTTTCCATCAATTTTAAGATAGCACTAGGTTATGCCTTAGACAATACAAGCGTATTGGTTTGCTACAGGAGTTGCAGTGTCTCTAAACCACTAAGAACATACTGGAAAGCACAGTATGAGTTTGTTAGGTACTTTGGAATGAGAGAAACTCAAGATGTTTTGCAGGCAGAAACAACTCAATGTTGAACCTCAAGTGTATGTGTTTAGGATTTTTTTGATGGTGGTGGTGTAGGGGCCCGCTCGTGCTCCTTGACTATTCCATCAGGTACCTGCTACCTCTAGCACACATACCGGATAACTCTACCCACTAATGTTTTGGCAAATGGAAGAAATCACTTGTTTTTTTTTTGTTTTCGCTGGGATTTGAACTTGAGACCTCATGGTTGTCATCCTACTTCATTACCCAATAGGCCATACCCTTGGGTTAGATGTCTAGGATTACTGGCTTCTTTTTGCAATTTACGAGATCTTTTTGATGAAAACGGTATGAATGTCTTTATTAGCTCATTACAGGAGTAACTTTGTATAGGGGATCCCTTCCTTTTTGTTTTTGTACAACATGACCTCTCATTTTGTAATGTCCAGCACTAGTTTAGTACGTGGCTATTTCTGTTATTAAAAGCTTAATTTACTGATCAGAAGGAAAGATGGTGGCATCTGAGTGTAGTATTCAATTTGCTGCAGCAAAATAACCACAAGCTTGGTAAGTCCTCTCAGGACTAGGGCCACTTCGATTTTTTTTAACTATACGGTTAGATGATTGAGGACAAAACTTAGGCTACTTCCTTTTTCCTAATTTTGTCTCACTACAGAATGTCTATTATGTTCATATTTAGTGTAGCTGTTTTTGGTTTAATGTTTTATGTTAAGCTTGTATTCCCTACATTAACCTTAGTCTGTTTTCTCATAGTAAAGGTTAACACTTTGATTGTCTGTACGTTTAATTTCTATATTCTTTTGTGGACTTCTTAAAAAATCTTTTGGTTTTTGCAGATAGTCGGGCTGGAAACTCATTTACGTCATACATTACTGCAAAGGTTGTATTATATATTTGTTGAAGGCGTTGACTGGACCCGCTGGGCTCTTTCTTTTTTGCAAATTTCTTTGGCTTCGTTGTGCTATTTAGTCGTGTACCCATTGGCTTTTATTCTTCCTCTAATACTTTTTCTTGATTTCCTTCTTCAGGTCCTTGACAACATCCAGTTGTCCATCAGAAATGTTCATATTCTTTATCGTGACATGTTGACCTCTTCGGTATAGTTCTACCTAATTGTATTTGAGATTGTTTATTTTCCTTGTGTACTCATTTTGCTTTCCGTTCGAATTCGTGAGCTTGTTGGGCTATTCTTTTGGTCCTTAACTTTCAGAATTTTGCAATCCTTCAATGCTAGTTTTTCTTTTTTCTCCGGGCTCCTCCCTTACCTTATTGTCCTTCATGTCCCTTGTTCGTCAAATGCACCTAATATCTAGGATGAAGCACATAAATTTGGCCATAAAAAGAGTTACTAGAAATAAAAGAGTTGGGAAGACACATCTATGAGTTTCTCAAGGAAAGAAGCCTTTTATGTGCTTTCAATGTGAGGTCGACTTTAATTAAGGGAGATGATTTACAGCTTGTGTCAAAGAACTAGCCAGATTTTATAGGCAGATGTGTGATGTGAATTCCAACCTTATATTTGCTTAGGGAATTCTTTTTGCATGTTATAATGTTTATTTATCCCTTTTTGTCTGTTTTTAACATTGCGAAATTCAAGTCCAGAGTTATAGATCTTTCTTTGCATGTCATTCTGCCTACTAGTTCTCTTATCTCTACAACTCTTGCCCTGAACAAATGTGGTGTTTTGAGGCTTTTAAATAAGTCATTTCTTGATGAGTTAAGTTTGATTACTGCTCAATAAAAAAGAGTCCGATCCTATAGTTCCTTCTCTCCTTGCTATAGAGCTTTTACCTTGTCTATTTCTTCTCTGTCTATGACCCAAAATTGGAGTGAAGCTTTTGTCGATCCTAAACGGAAGTTGGTTTGGGAACTTGTCACTTCACCACCGGATGAGAAGTTGGTTTGCTGCAAATGGGTTTTCACTATGAAACACAAAGCTGGTGGCTAGATTAAAGCAAGATTTGTGGCTGAGGATCCATTCAGAATTATAAAGTGGACTATCAATAAACATTTCCTTGTTGCTAAAATGAACTCAATTAGAATTCGTTTGTCTTGTGCAGCTAATATTGATTAGGACTTACAATAGTTTGATGTGAAGAATGCATTTCTTCATACAGACTTAGAAGAAGAGGTGTGTATGGAAATTCTTTCTGGATTTGATACGGAACATAATCATGGAAAGTATATAGACCGAAGAAAGCCTTATACGAATTGAAGCAAAACCCTAAAACTTGGCTTGACGGATTTTGCAAAGAAATGATCTACTTTGGACACCCACAAAACAATGCTAATCATACTCTCTTCATAAGACAATCAAAGCGGTAAAGTCACTCTTCTCATAGTTTATGTTGATGACATTGTAATTATGGGAGATGATAAAGATGAGATTATTTGCTTGAAGAAGTTGTACGCACAGAAGTTAAGATCAAATATCTTTGGAAATTGCAGTACTTCTTGGGAATTGAGGTTGTCGGATAAAAAAATGAATCTTTATTTCTCAAAGAATGTATATTGTAGATCTCTTGAAAGAAATTGATATGACAGGTTGCAAACCAGTAGAATCAACTATTAAAAGCAATCATAAGTTACAAACATGAGTTGAAGAGTCTATTGAAAAGGAGAGATATAAGAGGTTAGATTTTTGTTTTTTGTTTTTTTGAGAAGGTAACGTAGTTGTGTATTAATAATAACAACACAAAGGGTGTGTAGTTCTCCATGTTTACAAGGAAGAAGAGAGGAAAAACAACTCTTTATCCTTTATCTTCTCACAAGGATTCTTGTACATCAAAGATAGATTCAGGATATTCTCCATATTCTTGCTTACACCAAAAATAAAACAAGACCAAACATTCATTTTCAGTTTCTGGATGTTAGTGGACTTATATTCAAAGCATGTTGATTTCTTGCATCCCAGATTGTCCACCAAATGCAAGCAGAGACAATCCTTCATCTATCTTTATAACTAGAAGAGATGCTCCCTCTATTCCAACAAGCTAGAACCTCAAGTATTCTCCTCAACATAGCCCACCCGATACCCCTCAAGTTGATGAATATCCTTCATCATTGAGTAGTCCAGTTGCAATGTAAAAGAGATGAGTGATTGTCTCTGCCTCTTGACCACCTAAGTAATATCCGGAGAAAAGTTGGTAACCTTTCCTGATAAGGTTGTCCCGAGTTAGAACTGTTTTTTTTGCCAACAACCAAGTAAAGCAAGCAACTTTGTATGGAATTTTTAGACTCCATATCAGTTTCCATCGCCAACACCCAATTTGGTTGTTTAAAAGGTTGAACTCCTTGTAGGCAACAATGATGATTTAACTGAAAACTCTTCCTTGCCTATGCCATTGCCACATTATACAGTCTTTACTAGTTGAGGTCCCTTTGAACTATTCCAGAGCATTATAGAACTCTGTTACTCTGTCAATCTGTAAGTCATTAATTAGTCTTCTGAAGGTTATATTCCAACTTTGATTTGCCCAAGCCTCCCAATTTTTGCTACTTGCGACTGATTTAGAGAATGTATGTCTAAACAAAGTTATTCCAAAGATCCTTGACCTAGCCAATTGTGTTCCTAGAAAGATATCTTCATTCCATTTCCAACTCTAAATTTGGACTTGTGCACTAGTTTGGGCTACAAATTCCTGATAGATTTCCGTAAGCTGACCCTATAAGAATTGTTAACTGCTTTGGTTGTCCGTTCTCCTTCAATCCCATATTTTTCCTTAGTAACATCTCTCCATAGTGACTGGACTTTTGCTACAAATGTCCATAACCATTTCATTATCAAGCTCTGATTCTGAGCTTTAAAATTCTTGATTTCAAGACCCCCTTCCTTCTTGCAAGCTAAGTTAGATTCTCATTTAACCAGATGAATTTTCTTTATATCACTATTACCTAGCCAAAAAAGTTTACTCTTAAAGCATCCATCCTTTTCATTACATTAATAGGAATGGAAAATAAAGACATCATAAAGTAGGCATAACATCTAGAACCGAATTAATCTATCCCCATGGATAGATACTGATTTTACCAGTTAGATAGCTTCTTCTCTTATTTTTCTAGCACCTCATTTCATATCCCCTTTGATTTATTCTTGACCCCCAAAGGCATCTACCTCTTATGATGGCCATCTACTATGAATCCACTAGTTTATTCACCACTTTCTTGAGTCTTTGTTAAAAGTTTTGAGAAAATTTTGTAGACACTACCAATTAGACTGATAGGCCTAAAATCTCTCAAACTCCTTTGCTCCCACCTTCTTAGGTATCAATGCCACGAAGGTAGCATTGCAACTTCTTTTCAAAGACTCCTTGTGCATGAAAATTCTGCACAACAGCTACTACATCAGTGCGTACCACATCCCAGCAATGGCTAAAGAAAGCCATAGAATATCCATCAGGTCCAGGAGCTTTATCCCTTGCATGTGCCTTAACACTACTCCATATCTCTATTCTTCAAATGGACTTTGCAATATTTGATTTTCCTTTGGAGTAATAATAGGATAGGTCCTAACATTAACATGTAGCCACCACCCCTCTACTTCGGTATATAGTTATCGGTAGAAAGTGAGTATTTCTCTAGTAATTCTATAGTGTTGACGGAAATTGGTCCTTTAACTATTAGCTGGTCAAAGTTGTTGTCTCTTCTGTGAGCATTGACAATTCTATGAAAGAATTTTGTTTTCCTGTCACCTTGTTATAACCAAAGAACCCTAGGGCTTTGTCTCCAAACCACCTTCTCATGTTTTGCAATCTCCTAAAATTCCATAGACAAGACAATTCTTGTACATATTTCTTCTTCATTCAGGCTTCTTTGATCTTGTATTTCCTCCAATTCTACAAGTGGATTAATGATACTCGCTTTCTCTAATTTCAAGTTTCCTTGAGCAGATTTAATCCATTCGTTAAGCTTCTCCTTCAAAGCTTTTAGTTTAAAGGCTAGAATAAAGTCAGGCCTTCCTTCACCGACAAAAGAATCCCATCACCCTCTTATTCTATCTCTGAAACCGCTAGTCTATTAGCCATGAGTTTTTAAATTTAAAATAAGACTTAACAGGTTCCCTATTTCCACATTAGAGCATCAGAGGAGTATGATCAGATTGTGAGTCTGTGGAGTGTTGATTGTTTGATGTTTCTGAAGCTTCATTCCAATCCACTGAAACCAAAAACCTGTCTATCTAGCTGCAATACCATGCCTATCACCTTTCCTCCAAGTGAATGTTCCTCCTGAAAGATGATGATCCACCAATTCCATGTCCTCAACAAACTCTGAGAACTCAGTCATTGGTTTGTTAGTTCTGTTGCAATTTTTCTTTTTCAATGGGAATCTAATTGTATTGAAATATCCACATACCGCCAATGGCATAGGAAAAAACCCCTTAGCTCCTGCCACTTCCTACTAGACTTTTTCGCTTTCTTTTTCATTTATCTCTCCCACACTAGACCAGATATAACTTGTTCAATCAGTTTGGTAAGTCTATGATCCCGAAATTCTCATAAGCAAGTTGTTTTTCACATTTTGCATATCTGAAGTCTTCGCTAGGAAAAATTCTCCTTTTCACCAAACTTGGTCACTTCCAGGTAGAAGCCTATACGGATGCGGATTGGGCTCTACCTATACAGATGCTGATTGGGCTGGATGTACAAATGATAGAAGATTTACGTCTGGTTACTGTACACTCATAAGAGGGAAACCTTAGTTATTTGGAGAAATAAAAACACAAAGTGTACTTGCTAGATTAAGTTCCAAGGTAGAATATAAAGCTATGTCCCGGCGTGTTTGTAAACTTCTGTGGCTACTAAACCTACGGGAGGAATTGAGATTGTCTGAAAAAGGAAAACTTTCATTGTATTGTGATAGCAAGGCTGCAATCAATATAGTTCATAATCCTGTTCAGCATGGCCAGTGTTCTAAAATGTGGAGGCGCGAGGCACAATTTCTTACTTAGTACGAGGCCAGGCATAAGCTCCGAGACATGGGGCGTAAGCCCCGGGACGTGGGGCATAAGCCCCATGGATCTTTAAATTTTTTAATTTATAAATCAATAACTTAATAACACGAAAACATAGAAAGCACATTAAATTTTTAAGAAAATTAAAAAGAATTAAAGAAACTCATAAAAAATAAAATATCTAGCATGTTTTTGCAAGTATAAACAATGCAATAGTGTTTAAGTTATTATGAGATACAAATCAACTATAATGTCTGTATTGTTGAACAATTAGAAAACTACAATTTCGTAAAAAATGTTATCAAACTATACATTATACCTCCTTAAAAGTAAATAATCAATAAGCTGTATCAATATTATAATTTAAAACATCACTCCTTCATGAATAAATACAAAATTGCTTTCAAATAGCAAACATTAAAAGAATGATAATCTTGAGAGATATAAGACTAAGACATGAAAATTAATAGCAAGTGAAAATATAAACTTCAACTATCTATTCTTAGAAGAGGTTCACTGGTATTCACCATGACGATACTCTCAATTAGTAAATCTGCAATACCATGGCTCGTTATTTGAGTTACTCTCAATCTTCATGCTTCTATCGATGAAAATAGAACATTTATCACTTATTAGTTAAAGAATTTTGATGGTCAACAGTACTAATTACAGAATTCGACACATGATTTGTATAGGAACTATTAGGCGATCCTTAGGCATTGGGCGTTTGACATGTTTAAGGCGCACAATCGGGCGATTGAGGCGTAATCATCACAAAAAATAAGCTCCACACGTGAGCCTTAGGGTGTTTTTCTAATCTTGAGTACCAAGAAAGCCTTTTAAAATTTTGAGCATGACAGAATGAAACATATTGAAATTGATCGACACTTCATCAAAGAAAAGATTACAACAGTTTCTTGACTTTGCTTCATGTGTCATAAGAGAAACAACTAGTTGATGTGCTTACTACAGGTTTCAACAAACGATCCTTTCACACACTGGTTTGCAAGTTGGGGATATGTGACATCTTTGCACAAACTTGAGGGAGAATATTGATTGTAGGAGGATTTTTAGGCTTGATTCTAACGTAACCATTTTTATTTGATTTGATTAGCCTTTATTCTCTTTCCTTAATTAGTCATAAGAACCTTGTATAAGTAGCATGTTCTTGGGATGTAAATATAAACACAGAAAAACAAGAAGCCTTTTTTTCTTCTTGAGATCTTCAGTTAGCTCATCTATAAATTGGATAAACAAGTAGGGCTCAAAACCGATCTCTCGTATAAACACACGATTATAGGACCTCTTTGTATTTTGTATCTGTTATTGCTCTTCTCATATGGGAAGATGCGGGAAGCGAGGCTCAGATGGTTTGGGCATGTACAGAGGAGAAGCCCAAATGCTCCAGTAAGGAGGTGTGAGCGGCTGGTTGTGGAAGGCACAAGAAGAGGTAGAGGACGGCCTAAGAAGTATTGGGGAGAGGTGATCAAGCAGGATATGACGAGGCTTCAGGTTTCCGAGGACATTATACCTGATAGGAAGTTGTGGAGGTCGAGTATTACGGTTGTAGGCTAGGAGGTAGTTGAGTCTTGCGTTACTTTGTGTCTTTGTGAGCCTAGTCCGGTAGGGTTTTGTCTAAGATAGCTAGGGGTAATGTCGTTTCTTACTATTTTCTATTTTCGACGCAGGTTCCACTTACTAGCCATTGTTTTTGCTTTGCATTTTTCTTCTACATTTTATGTTCCTATTTTTCCTATGATCTCCGTGATGAATCTAATATTCTCTCCTTTTGTCTTTTTATTATCTTGAGCCGAGGGTCTTTCGGAAACAGCCTCTCCACCCCTTCGGGGTAGGGGTAAGGTCTACGTACACACTACCCTCCCTAGAGCCCACTTGTGGGATTCTACTGGGTGGTTGTTGTTGTTGCACTACTATTCTCATAATAGCGCTGGCTCATTCATATATATATATATATATATATATCCTTTACGGTATTTATGCATTCAATATATGAATTCCTTTCTTCTCCATTTATATATACTGAAATCTTTTCTATATGTTGGAACATTTGAATGCTTAATGATTCATAGAAGAAAGAAACGAAACAAGAAGTGCTCGTTTCATCTAAATCTTGGATCATGTCTAATGATGTGTGGAAAATACAAATGAAGATTCAAATCAAGTAACCTAAAAAGCATGCTTTTTAGGTTAGTCTAACTGACATGTACAAGAGTAAAGCCGATTCGTTGTTGCATAAGAACCCATACAAGTTAAAGGAAACAGGATGTCAGAAAAAAAGGGGGGGGGGGGATACTATGGCAATCAAAACAACCAGATCAGTCAGAAGTTGAAAATATTAGCAAAATTAACCTCCTGAGATCCTTAAGAAAATGTATATTAGCCTTTATGTGTCAGTAGACAATATAATGAATTTCTAGTACACTTTTTTTTCTATGAATATTTTTTTTTTCTGTATTATATTGCCCTGAGATGAGTTTATATGGAGTAACATAGTTAGTGAGGATTCATATAGCCGATTCCAACTTGTTTGGGATTAAGGCACAGTTGTTGTCGTTGTTATGTATATTAACCTTCATGTGATGTTCCAAGCAATTACTTGTTTCCTTTTTTGTCAGGCAGTAACTGTGTTTGGTATGAAGCTGTCAAGTTTAACAATTATGAGGCAGCTAGTTAGGTATGACTCTTATTGGTGTTGTATCTTTTCCATGTTCTCTTCATGCAGTCACTTACATTGATGTATTTGCTATGTTTGAAAAATATATTGTTCTTTCTTAACAGTGTAAACTCATATTTCTCATGCATGAGATAGTCTATTCAATGCAGGAAGAATTTTGTGTTCCTCCTTGGAACTGGAATTCCTTAATGCTTAAAAGGCGGGTATGATATTAGAGGAGTATTAGGCCCTTCTTACAATGCCAGCAATTATTTGGTCAATGTTTCTATCAGTCTGTGCATATCTAGAGTCAGGCTTCAGCGTGCTAGAGTAGTTTTATAAATTTGCTTCCAGATTGCAATGGGTTGGGAAGCTATTCTGTACGGTTCTGTATTTGACATGTACTAATTTGTCATTATCTAAGTACTAGTCAATCTCATTAGAAACTAAACAAATTGTTTTATGATGGTATACTTTGAAGTCGCGGAGATAATTATTTTTTTCTTTTCCAAAAACAATTTCTGTCTGTTTAACAAATGGCAGTTACAGGTGTTTCTTAATCAATAAAAATCACAACATGTTGTCTACCCTAATTGGCTTACATCACACCCCTAAGGGTGCAGCCCTTTCCCAGACTCTGTGTGAACGTGGGATGCTTTGTGCACCGGGCTGCCCTTTTACAATATGTGCTTCATTTGTGCAAGAGTTATTTCCGCAAATATTGGCTGCAAAGCATTCTTTGGTTTTTAAGAATCAACACCTGCACCATTTGTGTCGTTTACCTTACTTGTCCTTTGTCCATTTAGTGGGAAAATGAGAGATGGGCGTGTCAACAAACTTGTTGAAGTAAAAGGATTGGAACTCTACTGTAGTACCTTCCAAAGTACTGATGAGGTGATGAGAGACTATGCAGTGGATTCTAACAGTAAGGGCAGAGAATCGGAAGCAAATGATGACAAATATATGTTGGTCCCACTAGATGTATCTTTGTCTCTTTCGGTATGTGAATCTGATACTCAACCTTTTGTTCTGTTGTTAGTTGTCTATTCCTTTTGTGTTTTGAATTAAAACAAAAAAAGAGAGGTCATACTTGGGTTCACCTATAATCAGCACTTTCTAAAATGAGTTACTTTATTGCTTTCTTTGTTATATAGGTTAAAATTAAACGGACCACTTGTGAGCTTCCCAATAATTGACATCTAATAAGTGGTTCCATGCCTTTCTTTCCAGGCAATAGGTAGCAGCTTTTTCTCCAACATCACTTAACCATCAACTATACCTCAATTCCAATTACTCGGGATTAGCTATATGAATCGCTATATCTATTTAAGGTGCATTTTATTTGTTAACCGCATCCCTAAATGTAAGGATTTAAGGTGCATTTTATTTGTTAACCGCATCCCTAAATGGCAGTTTTTCATCTCCAAAATGTAACTATGATGTAAGGATGCTTCTGTTTTGATGGATATCTTTTCATCAACTTCTCCTCTTGTATTTGAACTGTTAAATGTGAGCAGTAGAAATCCTTTGAAGCTTTTCTTATTACTGTGCTAAGTCTAAATCGTTCAATAAAAATTTGACTGAAGCATCAACAGCATTCTCAAGTCTTAACTTATTTTCCAACTGAAGTTGAGCCATACTTTTATTTGATATGCTTTATGTGATGTGCAGATGATNCCCCCTTTTCCTACTAAAAAGTAAAACCAATGGTTCAACATGATTGTGTGCTCTATATAGTTATTTAAAAATTTCCTATCTAGTTATAGTTTTCTTTTCCACTGGGGAAATTTGCCTTTGACTTAGATCTGTATTAGATTTTGGAAGAGTTAGCCGGCCCTTTTAATGGGCTCATACACACTTATTTATATTACAAGGTCAAATCAATGTGTCGTTCTGTTTTTATACTTTATGCTTCTTTTATTTATGTTTTCTAATGAGCTGTCACCAATTCTGATATAGGTGAACCGTTCAGGAAGGCTTGAGAAAGATGTTCCGCAATACTTCTTAAGTATAGAGTTGAATAATGTGGTTTGTACAAGATATTTCCTATCATTTTAAAGAATTTCATTTGCAATTCAGTATCACAGTAACATAGTTGTTGATCTCCTTTTTCATTGCACATTAGGTTGTTTCTCTGGATGAGATTCAAATACAACAAATCTTGAGCATTTGTGACTATTTGCTGACATGTCAATTGAGAGAGAAGTAAGATGTCACCATTCGCCTCGTGTATCTTTTAGTTAATATCTGTTCGTTGAGGAGCTCAATAATTTTATCTTGAACTATTTCATTTTCACTCTTTGAATTGAGACATTTACTTCGTTTTTGTTATGTTTCCCCTTTCCATTTTTTGTGATGAAGAATATTTCATTGATGAAAGAAGGATTGAGAACTAGATGTCAGCCTAGAAAAAGTTTACAATAGTAACATTGATTTGCTATTTGTCTATCTTTCACTTTTCTAACTAATATCTTAGATTTCTACAATATTCCTTCCCTCGAGCTTCATCTTTCTCAACGGAAGTTTTGATTGCAACAACTCAAAGCGGAATCTGAGATTGTTTAAGCCAAAGCACTCGATGTATTTTCATGATTACCTGAGCTGTTTAAATCTTGTTTATGGTGCATGAAAGAATCTTTATGCGAATAGAATGGTGTGCTAAGCTGTTGTATTACATTTGCAAACAGCTTATAGGGAAAGCATGTCTGGTTTATTGATATTCTCATCTCCATAATTACAAATGATATTGCAATAACAAAAAAGGGATAAAATCCCCAAGACATGTGAGCACTCGCTAGAACTGAGCTATACAAAAATATAATTCTCCAGAAAGCTCAATAATACTCGGTATAGAATTTGTGCTCCACAACAAAGAAAAGCAGCATGATGCTTGGCGCAGTATCCCCTCTCTATTAGTATTGAGCAGTGCTAACATGGACTGGAAAAAGGAAAAGTGACGTGCTATCATTTGAAAGTTAAGTGCAACTATTGGGTAAAGCATGCAGCTGCGTATATGTAGTTTGTTTGTTTCGGCTTTTGACGACATTACCACATGTTTTCCCCCCTCTATTTTTTGAATTTCGTACAGAGACAAATATCTCCACTAAGGTTTACTTCCTCTTATTGATGTGCAAATATCTCCACTAAGCTTTACTTCCTCTTATATATGTGCAAGATATAGGGAGTGATGCTTCTCATAAGAGGTGCTTCTTAGCTTGTCGCGCTCCTTAATGTTCCTTGTATTGCATGGCTTAGTATTGGAATATCAACACGTGATTCTCCCCTAATCACATCCAATCATCAATGAATCCAAAAGCCACTTGTATACAGTGGTTTTCCTCCACTGTCACAATGGATACATTACTTTTTTCCAAAAAAGTTTCAAATATCTGCTCCCAAATCCTCCCGGAATCGCCTCTTGACCTCCTGGTCTGATCCTACGTGGGGCGCATGCGCTAACCACGTTTACAGTAAACCCTCCATCTACAAGCTTAATACTCATCAACCTATTATTTACCCTCCTGACCTCGACCACTAACTCCCTGAGTCCCCTGTCAGCTAAAATACCTACCCCCTTCTTGCCCCAACGCGTCCTGAGTACCACAATTTATACCTGTCTACATCACATGCCCTAGTACCTATCCATCTAGTCTCTTGGATACATGCTATGTTGATCTTCTGTCTTCCTTTTCTGAAGAATCTTACCTAACTCAATAGACTTCCCCGTCAACGTCCCTAGGTTCTAGGACCCGACTCTCAGCCTAGAGGCTCCCTTAACCCCATTCCCCCCCGCCGCCCGCCCCTCCTGAGGATATGACCTTGCTCTCACATCGTTCGCCACAACCACTATAGTCTAAAGGGGTATTAAGTAAGCACTACTACGAAAAGCAAAGAGCGACAACAAAGGAATATAAGCTAAGAGGCCGAAGGCTTAAAAACTCAAATAATTCAAGTAGCAAGTACCGAAAAACACACAAGTCTACCTAGAGCGATCAATCCAACTACAGGTAACACAATCAAAGGTTGCCGGCGCAGGCAAATAGAACACAAGAGATATATAACAGATCTTGGAGAACACAACAGGGAGCAAGGTACACGCGTCTAACAAAGAAGAATAGACAATGAACACGATACGCACAAACAGGATACACACTACTAATATCAACTAATATCAAAGAACGAATATGCAGTATAAAGTAATGGACTAGGAACGTTAGAACTTGGTTTTGTCGTCGAGTTGTGAATTTCTTTTTTATTCTGAAGTTGTAGATAAGTAAAAGATTGATTTCCTATATAGTATGCTATTTTTTTTCAAATTTACCCTAGTTTTGGTTCTGATTTTGGGAATCAAATTGTATCTCGTCTCAAATTTTTCCGTCTGTCATGGTCAAAGTACCCAAAATTGTCTGACAAGATCCGGTACAGATCCCATACCCACACCCATATTAGTGTCGTGTCGACATGGGTGCGGCACCTAAACTGCTGTGTCGGAGCAACTTAGCTTTAAACCAAAAGTGAAACAAAAATATACTGTTGAAGACACAATTAAGTAAGAAAATAGAAGTGTGTTCTCTCTAACAGCTTAAGCTTTTAGGTGAGATGATCACAAACATGGTATCAGAGCAAGCAGAGGTCCTGGGTTCGTGTCTCACCGTCACCCACTATCAAAAGTAATTTTCACGTGCTTGGCTCATAAAAAAGAATCAAGCCCGCACGCGAGAGGGCGTGTTGAAGACACAATTAAGTAAGCAAATAGAAATGTGCTCTCTCTAACAGCTTAAGCTTTTAGATGAGATGATCACACACTTAAAACATATAAAATTCATCTTGATCCTTCGTTCAGGGTTTGCCAAATCTTCACGTTTGAGTTTCTTTCCCCCAAAATTGTCCACCAAATACATGCCGGGACAATGTGCCACCACCTTATGCTCCATACCTGCACCTGAGCCATTCCAACATGCCATTATCTCATCAGTTCTCCCGGCCATTCTCCAGCTTAGGCCTTTCATGCTCATGAACAACTGCCATAATCTACTAGTAACCTAACAATGTATGAATAGATGACTAATTGCTTCATTGTCATTGCCACACAATAAACATTTTGAACACAGTTGCATCCCTCTCTTTATCAGATTGTCATGGGTCAGGATAGCCTGTTTCACCACTAGCCAGCAAAATACTGTCACGTTGAAAGGTATTTTCTTCTTCCATATGTCTTTCCAATGCCGGGGTCCATAGTGTTGATTACAGCTGATTAGAGTCCCATATGCTGATTTCTCTGAAAAAGTTCCTTTCTTGTTCTGACCCACACTAGCTTGTCCTCTTGTTCAGCAGTTCCCCTTAAAATCTGAAGAATTCAGTCACCTGCACACTTACCAGTCACTCAGATATCTCTAAAGGTGAGATCACAGCCCTGTTTGCTCCAAATTTCAACTAAAGTTGCATCAGGTTGTTGTACTAAGCTGAAACTTACCAGTCACTCAGATATTTCAAATTTCAACTATCTGGAAAGATTTCTTTGAGAGGGCCATTCCCAATCCAGTCATCATTCCAAAAGGAAGTCTTCAAGCCGTTTCCAACTTTAATGCTGAAGTTACTTGCAAAATCTTGACAAAGGGTTCTTATTGATTTCCATACACTCATTCCATAAGATTTGGTAACAGATCTTGTGCACCACTGCCCTTCTGTACCTTTTTTGTCATTTATCACCTTTCTCCACAAAGCTTGGTCTTCAAAGGGAATCTCCATAACCATTACATCAATAGAGTCCTGTTGTGCTTTCTCAGGTTTCTAATTCCCTAGCCTCCTTCCTTCTTACTGCATGTGAGAGTCACTTGACTATCTACGGTAGCATCTCTACTCCTTATTACCTTGCCAAATGAAATTCCTCCTCATTGCATCAATTCTCATTGGCATGCCACAAAGAGACATTATATATGTAGGAAGAGCATTCAGCCCACTATTAACCAGGACAATCCCCACCCCCCCCCCCCCCCCCCCCCCTAAAAAAAGATATAGAATTGCTTTTCAACCTAATCTTTTTACTATTTGATTAAACATCTATCAGAAAATCGTTTACCCTTTCTAAATTTTTTGATGTTCGGTTTTGTTGTCCTTACATTGTAGGTACGGACGGTTTCGTCCTTGGTGGAGTCCTTTAGGTAAAAAGCTTAAAGGCTGGCAAATAGCATGGTGGCAGTACGCACAGCAATCTGTTTTACTGGATGTTCAACAGAGGTTGAGGAGAACTTCTTGGAAGTACCTTGGAGAGAGGCTGTAAGTTGATCATCTCGAGAACTTCTCCCCCAACCAATATGGGAAAATCATTAGGAGGTCTTTCTTTCTTGTTTTGTTCATTGGATATCAGTCTAGTACAGTTAACTATTTGGCATTTCAATTCTTCATACTCGTATAAGTTTCATGTTCATTTGCACTTCGTCAATGTTGAAATTCAAATTCTCACACTACTGATTATTAAAAAAGAAAACTTATTTACCAGCTGATGGAATTTTGAAGATATTTGATACCTTGACCCGTCTTTTCGTCTTGGCATACCATGTGCTACCCGTGTTGGATGGACTAGGGTATATCATCTATTTTCCAAAAATGACATACACTATCCAGAAATGAAATATGCTAATGTATGATAGAAAAGCCACATCCAATGATACACCCTCGTATGTGAGAATGATGTAGCATTCTAAGAGTTCTCTTGTTATTTAGCAGTAACGATTCTACCTAGTGGTTAATCCTTTAGGCAATTCCCTAAACTTTGATATTCATCTCTGTTCCATTTTTCCTTTCTATTTGTGGTTATATGGTTGGAGGGAAATGAGATAGAATCATAGTATATCGTGTCTTTACCCATATCTAGTACTTGAGCCCTTTTTACCCCTATTCTCCTTGTTGTTGTTATGTGTTATCCACTATTTTGTTTGTGTAATATTCATCAATGCTTTCTATGGACAAAAGGATATGTTTTAGAAATTCTTGATACTGTTGAGTCCCAAATCTACTGTTGAGTCCCAAATCGGCTCAAGATGGGTAACTTGGATTCCTTATATGATTTTGGGCAATCCTCAACTCATGAGTTAACTTTTGGGGTTGACTTAAGCCCAATGTACATTTATATGGTATTAGAGGCAGACCCATCTTATTATTTACCTGATGTTGGGCTCCCATCTTATATTATCCACGCTCCAAATGTCCAGTCCTAGGCATGCAGGAGGGGGGGTATTAAGTCCCACATCGGCTCAAGATGGGTAACTGAACTCCTTATATGGTCTTGGACAATCATCACCTCATGGGTTAGTTTTTGGGGTTGAGTTAGGTCCAATGTCTATTCATCAATACGTTATAGGTTCGTTTTTTCGGAAGTTTTGCTATGTGATTCCTGAGGATGCATATACCGCTACTAGTATNGCAAGATGTTTGATTTCTTTCTGTACATATGAGTGTGGAGCATGGCCAACGAGAGGAGGGGGTGGGGAGGGTACTGGGATTAAGAAGGCACGTTTAATCCTTTTCCCTTTTCCTCGCCCTTTAGAAGTGGATTATGGTTTGGTAGACTAACAACCCATTGCGATTTACTGCAAAATTGCTGCCAATCTTTGGTAGTAATTTCACTCCTTAACAACATCGGCCATTAAGGGATATGAAGGTCTCTTTATGTGGGAAATTCTCATCCATGAGCGGGCTTTTACGGTTGAGTTAGGCTCAAGGTCCATTTCTTTATTCTCATCCATGAGCAAGCTTTTAGGGTTGAGTTCGGCCCATTTCTTTATCATGTACATACTCAGTATTCTCTTGGTGCGCTTTATCTTGTGAAAGCATAAGAAAAGAGGGCACTTCTTTTTTCCAGTCCGGGAAGTGATGTAGTGCAGAGGGAGGAAAAAGTTACTGTTGAATGTGTTACTGTTTATACTGCACTCTGATCTTTAACTACTTTCTTTTACTTGGTAACTTTAGAGTCTTATTGCTGTTATCTGATTAGTTTCTTAGTTCTTAGGGTATGTTTCTTAGTTGTTTTGACTTCCCTTATTTTGTTTTAATAAGCTTTTGATTGAGAAAATTGGGGATCATACCTTGTTTAGGGCTATAGCTCTAGATTCTTCTCTTATGGATACAATTAAGGAGCATGCAACCTTTATTATTGAAGATATTTTGCTTTTAGGCTTTCATGTTTTTTCCTCAATAAGCATTAGGTTAGCTTAAAAGGATTTTCCATGATTTCCCTTTAAAGAGCTAGTTGCTTTGAAGTGATTTGGAGTAAAACTGCTTCCTGCCACGCCTTTGCTTCATCGGTATAGCAGTCCGATTTACTAATGTAGTGTGCCGACTATAAAGAAAATGGATTGGCCTTAACTCAACCCAAAAGTTAGATCATGAAATGAGAATTGTCTTAAATCATACAAGAAGAGAACAACTCATTCCCTTACTAACGTGGGATAATCGACACCAATTATTCATAAATGATGAGACATTTGGCTTTTCCCTTTTAACCATATGTTAAAATTTGATGCAATTTTGGAAGTAATTGTACTTAATTTGTCATGCTAGAAATCGCCGCCGGAAGTATGTGAACTTGTACAAGATAAAACTGAAATGCCTTCGACAAGATCAGGTTAGTGACTTCCAATCTAGTTGCCTATCAGTTTCTTTTTTGTTTTTTCTCTTTTGATATACCCGTTATGCTAATTCCTTTAATGTTTAAACTTCTCCCATTAAAGGGGAAATTCATTACGAGAGAGATTAAGAAATCAAAAGAATTCTATGAGTGAAAAGAGTTAAAGAAAAAGGAATATCTCATATACTCCCATGGAAATGTGCCCAAAGAATTGTGTGCTGATTGCTTGTGGTGTTTGTATCCCACATATTCCATGTTCTGCTTTTTCAGCCTTTTCTGAATGCATTTGCTCTTCTTCATCACGATAAAAACTGGCATTGTTTCCCTGCAATTATAGACCAACACATGACATAAGAATCTCATTCTTCTACTATTCAGGATTAACATGAGCTTAGCTGTGAACCTTGTGTCCCGTAATGAAAAGAATAATACAACAATACTTAAGAATGTCTGGGAAAAGGATACTGGAGCAATTTTTCAAGATGGGAAATGTATCTTAACTCTCTCACGGCGACGAGGAAACGGTTAGCATGGACCCAGAAAGCTCTCCTGGATCCTCCATACTGAGTAGGCATTTGGCCATAAGTTTTGGAAGTTTTTTTTTTTTTTAATTTCTTTTTCAAATATGTGTTTGTTTATAGAATTAATCCAGTGTTTCAGAGATTTTGAAAACCAAAACTTCAAATCCCAAATACAGCTTAAGACATTTTTTTGGGCCAAATCATGATAATTTGGGACTTTTTAGCTGAACAAACAAAAAAGGGACTTTTTAATATGTCAAAACTTTTCCCAAAATTCATGTCCAAACACATTTTCAATTTCAAATCAAACTTCACCCACATCAGTTTTTTCATAAAATATTTGGGAATCTATGTCCAAAAGGGTCCTAAGTAAATTAGCCTGTAGTTGAATTTGGAATGCCAGAAAAAAGTCAACTAGAATTTCTTATTCTTCGGTTATGTTTCCACAACCATTTGATAGAACTGTTGTTACTCACCTTGATATCCAAATGATTGTGACTGGGTTTCATTTCTTGTCCCACTAAACTAGTGTTTCAATCATGTCTTCTCGAGAATAACATGTCAGTATTGTTAAGAAGTTTGACCGTGGATCTAATTCAACCTGAAAAGTTAGTTAATGAGGTAAGGATTGTCCAAAAGCATATAAGGAGATAATAATCCATTCCTTAACTAATTTGAGATACTTGAACACACCTCCGCGCACCCAGGGTTAGACATCTTGAGGCGTACAATGTAACATAGGGGTCTAATATTGGGTAAACCAAGAATATGAATATGTCTGCTCTAATATCACATTAGATAAATGCAAATTGTGCCTAAGTCAACTCCAAAAATTAGTTCAGAAGGTGAGAACTGTCCAATACCATATAATTAGACAACAACAGCAGGTTGATCCACCATAGTCGCTGATACAAAAGTAGATTTTTCCCAAATATCTTCTCTTCCTTCTCTCTAGATTTTCTCTCACTATGACCCACCCCAATGACCCACCACCTCAGGCCCCACCAAATTTACCAAAGCCCACACCTAGAGAAAAAGCAACCACTAACGTAAAATCATTTCCCACATCGACATGTAGCCTAAACCCACCTACCACCACCACCAAATTTCTTCCGACCACCAAATCTAGCAACCCCAAATCCGCGAAGGAAGTGAATAAATCCATTGATTCTCAGGTAGAGGAACATCTGGATAACAATAACAACAACGATGATTCTGGAACACCTGAACAAGAGCCTTCTGAGCAATCGAAGATGGAAGATGAAGTTTCAGATTCTCAAGCAGCAAAGAAGAGTTCAGTTCAGAATTTCCCAAAGGTATCATCAAACTTGGATACGATTAATCGCAATAAGAAGGCAAATGCGTCAGAGGCTGCAAATGGGAATGAACAGGTGGGTACTAATTCGACGAAGCCAACTTCAAATCAACGACAGAGTGCAATACTTATGAATCCACATGGTGCTAGGATTAGAATACCTACCACAACTATGAATAGACAAAACAATCCGGGTTCTTCCAAACCATCTTTTGTGGTTGCTGTTTAGGCAAAGTTGGCAATTGGGAATTCAGGTAAAATCCCAGTTTCAATCAAACATGGTATGCATCTTGGAAAAGCGGCTGTCTTTTTCACTGCTGAGGATTATTTTGTGAATCTTGCTCAAGATTGTAAATTTACCATTATTGGGAAGCTCTATAGGGGGAAACCAACGATGGATGACATAAGGAGAGAGTTTGTTAGTCAATTTCAGCTTAGGCGAACTGTTAAAATTGCACACTTTGATCATCAACATGTGTATCTGGATTTTGATAATGAAGTTGATTTTAATCGTGTGGGAACTCAATCATTTGTGAATATTGGAATAGCTCCAATGAAAATCATGAAATGGACCCCAGATTTTAGGCTAGAAGTGGAAACCTCTATTGTTCCAGTTTGGATCTTAATACTTCAGCTGCCATGGCATCTGTTCAGATGGGACGTTGTTTCTAAAATGGGCAGTGCAATTGGGACTGCTGTAGCTCCTGATATGGCCACATATTCCAAGTCTAGAGGAAATGTGGCTAAGATCAAAGTTGAAATTGACTTGCTAAAACCAAAGTTAGATGAGTTATGGCTTGGGTTCAACACTTTAGATGGCAAGGAAGGTGGGGTATGGCTGAAGATTGAATATGAGGGTGCCCCTAGCTATTGTCAATATTGTTTCATGCAGGGCCATTTGGAAAGTCAGTGTAGAAATAAAATAAGGGATGAGAGGAACAAAGCTCAAGTAGAAGAAAAGCAGGTCAGTGCCAATGCCACAGAGATGGAGAATGATTTTCAGAGTGTAAGCAGAAGAAGGAAAACAAGAGATAATACAATAAAAGCAAAACCAGAACAATCACATGAAGGAACCATTAGCAAATCACATGTCACACAAACTAATAAACACAATAGCAGGAAGACTAACGGGGTAGTTTTCTAGGAACCAAGCATCACACATTCAGAAAAGAGTATAGTAGAAGTTCCAGGCAAGGGTAAAGGAGTTGATAAAATTCCAGAGGAGGTGCATGAGACATTCAGGGGTAGGGACCTTGAGGGAAATTTTTAGAAGATATCCACAAAGAATCCAAATAACCAGAGAAAACGACAAGAACCACAAATGTCGAATGTACAAAATGAGGAAGTAGAGGCAAATACAAATATTTCTAGACAGACATACTGGGCAATAAAATGGAAAAGATAGGATGGGGAAAGAAGATCAGGTGGCAGAGAACTCAATGAACACTAGGGAAGAGCAGGCTACATTGGGGGAAATAGTTCCCGAGTCACCTGAAATGACTCTTGGAATTAGCAAGGCACATGAAAGGTAGAAACAACTGGGCTTGATGCTGGGTGCGGACGACGATGATAAGTCATGAGTGGTGGAGCTGTAGAAGGTTGAACTAGACTAGGTGGTGGCACTGGAGCTATAGGTTGTGGAACTGGAGCTATAGGTGGTGGAGCTGCAACGGGAGTTGTGGGTGGTGGAGCTGCAACGGGAGCTACAAAGGAAAATGAATGGAAGATGGTGATTAAATGTCCAAAAGTTGGAACCGGTAGCGCCTCAGAAATATCTACGTGATTACTTAGACCTGTTAAGTATAATTGGGTTTCAAAGAAGGTAACATCAGCATATATAAAGTATCGTTGGAGGTTAGGAGAATAGTATCGATATCCCTTTTGTGTTCTCGAGTAATCAAGAAATACAAACTTAAGAGCATGAGCAACTAACTTATCTTTTCCTAGAGTAAGGTTATGAACAAAACACGTGCTCCCACAGACACGGGGTGGAAGAGAACAAAGGTAAGTGGGGAAACAGGATAGAGAATGGAACTTGATTTGGATAGCTGAAGATGGCAAACGATTAATAAGATAGCAAGATGTAAGAACTGCATTCCCCAAAAACGCAACGGAATATGAGATTGTGTGAGTAGGGTCGGAGCAATTTTAATAAGATGTCTATTCTTTCTTTTAGCTACCCCATTTTGTTGGGATGTGTACGGACAAGATGTTTGATGAATAATCCCATGAGAGTTCATAAACTGTAGAAATGGAGAAGACAAATACTCTAAGGAATTATCACTACGAAATGTGCGGATAGAAACCCTAAATTGATTTTGAATTTCAGCTTAGAAGGTCTGGAAAATAGAAAACAACTTAGATTGATTTTTCATCAAAAATATCTAAGTGCACTTGGAATAATCATCAGTGAAACTGACAAAGTAGGGGAATCCCAAGGTAGAACTGACCCGACTAGGACCCCAAACATCTGAATGGAGTAAAGTAAAAGGCGACTCTGCTCGATTATCAAGACGCTGAGGGTAATGGGAGCGGGTATGCTTACCGAGCTGACATGACTCACACTCTAGAGTGGATAAGTGAAATACGCATGTACCATTTTCTGTAGTTTTGTCAAACTGGATGTCCCAACCGTTTATGTAATAAATCTGGTGAATCAGTAATCGGACAAGTAGTTGAAGGAAGACAAGATGTGAGTCCATATGATCTTGCAAGGATAAGGTAATAAAGTTCATCTAATTCACGCTCGGTACCAATGATCCGTCCTGTATTGCGTTCCTGTATAGATTTGGCTAAGCGACTAATGGCTATGAGATTAAAAGGACTATCAGGAACATAAAGAACTGAATCTTAAAGTAAGGAAGGAAGTGGACTTGCTTGACCTATTCCAGTTGCCATGGTTTGAGACTCATTGGCCATTGTGACTGTTGGGAGAGATTGAGAACATGAAACATTAGTGAAAAGAGATTTGTTACCAGAAATATGATCAGATGCACTTGAATCAATGACCCAAAACTCAGAGGTTGAAGATCGGGAGACACAAATAACACTACTATCTGTTTGAACAACGGAAGCTATCCCAGAAGAGTCTGTTTACATGCTTTGTACTGAAGGAACTCAATATAATCCGGTAGAGAAACAATCCAACTATTCATAGTATTGGATCCTATTTTTCTACAACCAATTTCTCAAATTCTTGATAAAAAGTTGTATCGTTAACCTTGGAATGCCAAATCACAACACCACCTTTTTTTGAGTGAACACTGTTCACTCGCCGGAAAATAAAAAAAAGGTTGTCGGAATCTGATGAAACTTGAGTGAAAAGACTCGGAATAACCTCCTAAGTAATTTGTCCAAAGGAAGCTTCGTTGAAAAAATCACTGTAGCTGCCGAAAAGTCAGTGTAGTTGTCGGAAAATCTCAAAGTGATCGGAATAAAAAGAAAAAGGTATAGGTAGGCTCGGAATTACTAGGCGAGCAGACTGTTCAAAAGAAAGTTTTTCAAAATCTGACCAGAACAGGGCACATTCACCGGCGCGTGTGACAGACGCGCCGCCGGAAGCAGATCTCCGACATGTGCGTTGGGGTGTGTGGATGAGTATTTTCCGGGGAATCTAGGGTTTTGTCGGATCACTCTTGGGAACCTTGTGGTGGTGTTGGATTTTGCACAACATTGATAAATAGTGACTTTGATGCAATCACCGGACAATTGCATGGTGTAGTGTTTTAAAAAGAGACGAAGCGATCGCATTAAACGAGAAGCGACGTGAAGCGATGCCTTGTCACTTTTCCATGCCTGAGGCGAAGCGACCACACGAAGCGCTCGCTTCAGTAGAAGAAGCGCGAAGCGAGAAGCGACAAAGAGCTCGCTTTTGTGGTGGAGGGGGTCAATTTTAAGGAAAAAAAGATTGGGTCAGTTTTAAAAAAAAAAGTGGGGGTCTGTTTTTTTATTATACAAAACAAACCCTAACCTAAGTAAAGACCATTTCTCTCAAAACTAGGGTTCAATACTTCAACAGAGACCTCGTCTCCTCCAATCCTCTAGCTGTAGGTAATTTTTCTTCTTTCTTCTTCTTCTCTTTTTTTTCTTTCTTCTTTCATCATCATCTTGTTCCCGTCCAGGCACCTGCTCATAGCTAGGGCAGGCGCGAATTTTTTTTTCTTCCCTTTTTTCTTCTTATTTAGTATNTTTTAAATTGAATTTTTTGATTATTTATATTGTGTCTTTGCAAGGTTTACATTATGTTTTTTAAGAACTGCGCTTCACTTCAATGAAGCGTGCGCTTCGCTTTTGAAGCGAAGCTAGCTCCTGTCGCTTTTTTGCGCTTCGCTCTCTCAAAAACAGTGGCGTGGTGACTGTGATCTTTCTTCCCGGATATCGCTGGAATGACGCACATCGATCTTTTCTCACCCATACTCTGATACCATGTGAGAATGCACGGGAGAAAAATCTATTATTATTATTTTATGTTACAATGAGCCATATTTATATTTATACATAACACATAACGTACTCCTATCACATAAGACACTAGAACTAATTATATATATTCACATACCTATTCTAACAAACATGAAAGCATGATTATTTACAACGAATGCTCAATAATCCACACTGATTGGTACATCAAAAGTGTCCAAGAATGTAACAAGAATAGGAATATTCACTAATTTTCGCTCTTTCGTATGCTCTTCCATTTCTTTCTTTCTTTCTTTCTTTCCACATAGATCACATGAGCGCAAGTGAAACTGCCTTCCATAGTCTTCTTTTCATCCTAAAATATTGCCTGAAATCATTTTGGTAGCATTTTTCAATTACCTACCATACTCTTCTTCTCCTCCTAAAATATTATTCGAAAAACATTTGGTAACAACTAGCGGCATCACCCATTTAATCCCAAACATTTTGCAATATGCAGTAGTGATTGACAATCTGTCTTGCTCTTTTGCACATAAAGCACCAACTTATGCATATTATTCCTGTTTTTCTCGGATTTTCGGCAGTTAAAGAATGGCACTTTGTTTGGTGCTCTGAGTACTTAAACCAAGTCGTATGAAAATTTCTTTAGAAGTCGACTATTGCTCAATTGCCTACTTTTAGTTTTGCGTTTTATAGAGCTCATCCCACCATTCACTACTCCTCTATAAAGCCACTCCTTTGTCACCATCCCTTTTGATCTGAAATTGTGGAGGAAAAACTCTTCTTAGATCATGCATCTTTGGCCTCCTTTAAGAAAACTTAACAACAAGAGTATGCTGCAAATTTTCTTCCTGAATGTAGGCATCCAATCTACGTATTCAAGCATGATAGTTGGTTCTCCATGAACGAAAGCCACAGGTTATTAAGTTCAACGGTGCGCAAGCAGCAGTAGATTATGTTAGCTTGAGTAAAGAAGCATATGTAGGTTGTTATTTTAGTGATTTTTCTCCTATTGGAGGCTGGTGATCAACCATGGGCGCCATTCTCCTTAAAATAGTTATTGGCATTGCCAAGAGAGGAGAGAGCGTTTAGGTTTAGGATCTTTTTCCTGCTTCTTTATAACCAAGAATTCACTGTTTTCAATTTTGAAACTTATACTGGGTCCATCCTTCTTCCTTTCTCCACTTAAATACAAGACTTAGTTGAGAGCAAGATTCGAACTCGTGATGTGCGTATACCACACATTTCGCGCCATTGAACCAGAACCCTAGGGTAACCTCATATCCTTTTATTTGTGAACGAAAAGTACTTTCTCAGAAGTTACCATCTCTGAAAATGATAACACTAAAAAAATGGGCGTTGTGATTGATTAACAACTTCATCTTTGCTGTGTTTTTCTAAACTTAGGCCAACATCTGTAATCCTCAAAAGTTCTTTGGCTAAAAAGAGGCTCATAAATCCATAAGTATACGAGTATCCTGATTAAATTCACCACCGAACACTAAATCCTCTTTAGACTGATATGCAAGTAGTCAAGTACCGTAGGACTAGTGACCGAGTATTAGGGAAAGATCTCCCTTCCATTTATTCACCTTAGTCAATATTCGATCAACTTTCACATTAATGAAAATCCGATGATCAATAGAGTTTCTTCTGATCAGGTCAACCTTTATGCAGACAACATAGCTTCCATCGAGCTCATCCAACAATCAAAGGCATGTAACTGGAAAATGAATTCTTCTTTCAGTCCCCTCCTTTCAAATAAAAAAGAGCACTTCTTTGCCAACACGTCTGGTGGCACTCGTCTTGAGAGATAAAGACCAAGCAGCTACCTCCCTGTACGGTCTTGTTGTCCTCCCTATATGATCTTGTTGAATCCATACAATAAAAATACGATATTTTGATTGGACATGTTTCAATTTGAATATAAGCTGTCATTTCCGGTAAACGGATCATGTTGGAAATGGTGGTCTGTCGTTAGATCCTTTTTATTACTAGCTCTTAGTTGATAGAAGCTAGAGAAGTGGGGAAGCATCTCTATCTAGAATCTAGCCATTGCTATCTTGTCCATGAATTAGAAATTTAAAATTGCATATTTACATCTAAATCAATATAATGGTTTTTTAACTTGATTAGATGGTATTACTTCGCATACTTGAGCTAATCATAATTTGCCTTTCCAAAAATTTCCATATAAATGCTGTTTCTACATTGCCTCATTTCTTTTAATTTTTCATCTTTTACACCGTCTTTACTAAAATGAATGTTAATGTGATGTACAATTGGAACTTGCACGGTGAGCAAGTTTTGCGAAAAATCGCTTCTTTTTTGGTTCTGAATGAACTTGGAGAATTACGCTTCTACGGCGAAACCATGGATTTTGAGTTTACACTCTTTTCCTTTGAAAACAAGGCAAGAGAGTAAGATCATTTGAACCTACTTTTATAAACCTCTTGAAGAAATCTATTACAGCAGGTGTGAAGACAACCGGACTAGGCTGAATACCTAATGATTTTTCAATTTTGGCACAAAGTTTTAGGGGCAGACAAAGTAAACCTGAGACTAATCTTTTCTTTTTCCCGCAGTTGTCTCTTCTGGTGCCAGTTCATGGTTATAGACTGTTTTGGAAATGCTGAACACATTGCACAGTTTCATTGAATTTGAANCAAAACCCCCTTTTCTTTGGGTGTTCTGACATAATCTATCTATTAGTAGTACATTTTTTTCTTCTGGGGTTTTTTGGGGGGGGTGGTGGGGGAGGTCTGCAGCTTTTTTTATCAACTTTTTTGCATTTCTATTCTTCTTTTTCGTGAAATAATAACTCCCGTATATACACACATGCCACTATGTAGGATTATTCTGGGTATGTTGTTGTTGTATACACACATGCGCATACACACATAAATATATAAAAAGTTTTGTTGCTGGGCTACACTGTTTTCTTTATATGGCAATAGAATTAACCGAGTCACTTTGATATCCTACTTTTCCTTTTCTTTTCTTTTTTTTTGGGGGGAAGGGGGGGCAGCTTGGCTTTTTAACTTTCTTTGCATTGCTATTTAGTACAATCTTTTTTTGGGTGGGCGAGGGGGTGGTTTCAGCAAATTTTTTATTTTTTATTTTAAAATAACTCTCTTGGCATTGCTATTCTACTTTTTTTCCTGAACAGAATCTCCCTTATATACATATGCTCACACATAAATATAAAAACTTTTTGTTTCTGGGTTTACAGGATATGTTGCTGAATTCATCTTCTAGTGATGTAAGCAACAGTGTCAATACTGTTAAACCTCTGGAAGATGAGCATCTACCCAACAAGCCCCGTGGATGGTTGAACTGGCTATCACGCGGCATGCTTGGGGCTGGAGGAACTGATGATTCTAGCCAATTTTCTGGTGTTATTTCAGATGATGTGGTCAAGGTGTGCCTTAACGGTTCCCCTTTCCTTTACTTCCATGTATCTGCATTGCATATAATAAAATTTATTTTTATTAAATTGATTAGTAATGAAAGGTAAATTATATTTGTTTCACAAGTTGAAGAAACAGAAATATGTTTATCGCATTCAAGAAACAGAAAATGGAAGAAGCAATTTTTGTTTTTCATTTTTTGGGTTGACGAATGTGTGGGATTCGAAGAAGTGGTGGTAGAGTGTAGGAGTGGAGGTACAATCACACTTAGAGAGAAAAGAGATTGTAAATGTGAGGAGGTTCACAAAGAGGAGTTTGGTGGGCTTTATCCAGAGTTTATGGCCTAAAATGGAGAAAAGGGGATGACCTATGACATAAGCTAGATGCTATATGGAGACTATTGGTTGGACTATGAGTAGTTTGTCCGGATTTTAGTATTACCAAACACATTAATGAAATGATTCTTAGTGCCGGATCCGTTAATTACATGAGGGTGTTCATTGATTTTATACAAGAGAAGGAATGGTGGATCCCCCTCCATTGGCGGAGATTCACTTGGGCGAAGGATAACAGTTCAAATATTGCATCAAGGAACGACAGATTCTTGTACTCGTCAAAGTGGGATAATAACATCAAATTCATCGTACTATCAATATTGCCCAAGATCTTATATGATCGTTGTCCAGTATTACTATAATGCGGACAACAGGAAAGAGGCAGCTCTTATCTCAACTTCGAGAACATGATCTAGTGAAGCAGTGATAGGACTCTTACCACCTCAATGGCATGCCTAATGTCATTTTAGGTAGAAAGTTGAGAATGTTGAAAAAGAACTTACAAGATTGGAATTTAATAGAATGGAAGAAAGTAGAGAATTAAGAAAAGAAGCATTATCTTAAAGAATATAGCTAAGCCATGGGTTATGCAAGGTGGCAAAAATGTAAAGAAATTTCTTGGAGGCAAAAATTAAGGTGTTTGCGGCTAAGACACGGTTTAGAAGATGCCCATTATTCAGAGAAAATACACAACCCCATTGACAAACATAAATAAACATGGAAGACCCCCTTGTAGTCAAAGAGCGTATCCTGCATTTTTTTTATGAATCTGTATAAGGAGCCCGAGACATGGAGACCAACTTTGAACGTGGAAGATCAGATCTTCCACGGATATCAGAAGAGGAAATTTTTTGTGTCTAAAGACCTTTTATTGAAGAAGAGGCAGCTGAGATGCTTAAATCATGTGCAGGTGTAAGGCACCTGGAGTGGATAGCTTCTCCGTGGCCTTTTACCAAGGAAAAATAGACAAACTGGATATATTTCTGCATATTGACAGTTGAATTCTTTTTAATCATAGATGGCTCAAGAGAAGGTTTGCTTCTAGCATATAAAGGATTGAGATAGGGAGATCCTTTATCTCCTACCAGATAGACCGGGCGACGTACTGAAATATGTAACATATGGAAAGTGGTTAATGTGTTTTAAAGCAGTCAATGGTAACTTGTATGTTTCATCAATCTCACATTTTACGTATGCGGATGACACACTGATTCTATGTCAGGCTGACGAGAACCAACTCATGCATTTAAAATTGATTTTGGTAGTTCTTGGGGCTCTTTCTAGACTCAATATAAACTTTGCAAAGAGCAACATCTTTGCAGTCAATAAGGTACAATTAAGGTACAATGATGCAAAGGTTGGCTGAGACGTCAGGCTGTAGGATCGATATTTTGCTAGCAAACTATCTCGGTTGCTAACTGGGAGTAAGGTAAAAGTCAAATGGAATCTGGCAAATCATCCTGGACAACTGTGAAAAGAGGTTACCCAACTGGAAAAGACAGTACCTATCTTTGGTGGCAAATTGGTGTTGATCAGTATCATTTTGGACTGACTTCCAATTTACACCATGTCAATAATTCCAATTCCAAAGAAAATGGACAAACACTCCTTTAGAGAGGTAACAGAGGAGAGAGACAATTTCATCTGTATACATGGAACATTGTTACAAGAAACATGGTGCCTGGGGAGATGGTAGTCAGGGACTTGAGAGCACACAACAGAAGTTTATTTCTCAAGTGACTTTGGAGATTTGATTTACATGCAATAGCCCTCTGAAAACAATTGTTACTACAAAAATGAAATTGGAAATAGGTGGTGCACAAACTCTAGTTTTGGAATTCAGGGGAACAACTTATCAGGCAGATAAACTTTGGAAATTTTAGATATAAAAATCAAGATGAATGTTGGTGATTGCAACAAATCCTCCTCTGAGCATGAATGAAGATTGGGGCAATCACTCCTCAAAGAACAATTTCCAGATTTTTACAGTTTCTCACCCGACTCTCTTACAACCGTAGGTCAATGCATCTTCTTTTGTCCAATTTTATATGATCGAGCATGCAAATTAACATCCACATTTCTAAGTAAAATACTAATGGATATTCTGAATACAAAATATTTCTAGAACTGTCCAATCTGCATGATCGTCCATCCAACTTAAGAGCCGCATTTCTAAGTAGAACACAAATGGATGTTTCAAATAGAAAAACTTGGATAACATCTGTTGGCATTTATGTTAGTTATGCTATAGTTTATAATGCATTTTTATTTATTATTAACATTGTTGACATTTTGTACTAACAGGATATATATGAAGCGACAAAATTCCAGCCTGTGCTGCCACCAAATGATGATGCTCCTGCAGACAATAAAATCTATTTCTCTTCATTGAAGTTCAGCATTAAACAAATTTCTGCTACTATACGGAGCATGTATGGTGGCATGTCCCTGTCTTTAGGATGAACTTATGTGACGCCTAATTCAAATTTTTTCCTTTTCTGGTCATTAGGGTTCAAATTTTAAGTTGCTTTTGATTTTGAATCTATACTCAAGTTTTCTATATCCTTTCTCCTAACCGATTCCTTTTTCCTATATTTTTTTAAAGATTCAGCTTCACTCAAAAGCTGAACGTGGTGGCCTACTTTAAATTGGAATAGACAAGCAATGCATAAAGTTTATCAATCTGCTTTCGTTTTAGATACCAGCTTGTTCTAGACACCTATAGCTTTGTGCTTGAAGTGTTGCCAACTTGCCATAATCTCACAGATACTTCACGTAAGAGGCTAATTGGGCTGAAGTTCCTTGCTTCATTTGCCACCTCTTCCTTCTGATCAATAGCAAACTTTCATATGAAGCTGATTTCTGAAATCTTACTTTGCCACCTCTTTTTTTTTTTTTTGCCATCTCAAAGCAACAAAGAGGTATTGAAGCTCTTTTTAAGAATGGTGAGATTAGTAGGTAATAGCTTGACGCAGGTGTTTTTTAACCACGTGCCACCTCCTTCCGAGAAAAGTCCATGCTGAAACCATGTGAAATAGTGCTTTGACACCACCAGAGCTACACATCATCCATTTCTAATCAGCGCTCTTGATATTCTTCAATGAAATTGGATTCTGCAATTTATTATCTTTGGCTCCAGTTATTATTTTTATCAGAAAGAATTCTGTAGAAGCCCAAAATTGTTTCCTCAGTTTGGTCCTTTCCATGAGCTTCTATTCCACTGATGGTGATCTTTTAGAGAAGTTATCACTTCTGTATTTGGTGGAACAAGAAGTTTGTATTGGTATTTCCTTTAAGACAGATTTCTCCAGATTCTTCTCCATCTAATTTTTTGCGAAATTGCTGTAACTGCAAGTATCTGTCTTTGGATTCTCGTGTTTCAAAGAATTTTCTTCATTTAGCACCTCAATTTATACCTTGTTATCAAGTCCCCCCAATTCCTCTATCAGCTTTCACCCTGACCTCCCATAACCTCTGCTTCTTTTTCTGATCTCTTAATTTAAGTTTCCTGTTTAATTGCTTTGCTATTGTTTTTGTCTTATTTTACTTTTGTTTGCCCCAGCAGAATCTCCTTTGCTCTTCTTAGCTCATATGGAGCATCCCATGTGTTTTTTTTTTCCTTTTTATGCTCGATGAGCATAAGTTTCTTTTTATTTTTTGTTTTTTTTATTTCTCGTGTTTAAAAGATTTTTCTTCATTTAGAACCTCAATTTCTACTTTGTTATCAAGTACCCCCAATTCCTCTATCAGCTTGCCTATTTCCACCTCAGCTTGTCCTGTTTAATTTCTTTCTTATTGTTTTTGTCTCGTTTTACTTTTCATTTGCCGCAGGAGAGTCTCCTTTACTCTTAGCTCATATGCAGCATCACTTTATATTTTTTGCTTTTTATGATTGATGAGCATGAACTTTTTTTTTCTTTTATTTTTTTTAAAAAAAATTTCTTGGGAGAATATATCAGTTTGAGCTGCACAGATCGTAGATATGCATGTGATGTCTTTGGTTTTATTGAACAGTGTCAAAGACTTCATGCATATTCTGTATGCGTGTTTATGTCTTTCATGATCCCTGGGCTGATACCTACTTTATGTTTATTGTTTTATATTAAGGTGAACTTACAAGTTGCTATTCTGCTTTATCTTCTAGGAAGCTGGGTTATGCCATTGCCAACATGGTACTTAAGGGGATTTTTGTTGGGTGTGAGACTTGGGAAGAGGGTGCTGTTATCATTGCTGAAATAAACTCGGCTGAGATGCTCAATCCATTCAACAAACAAGTCGTTTTACGAACAAGGGTTAGTCTCTATTAAGGAATTTAGTATTCTAAGTGGTGTGTCCAAATTCACATCAAGAAGATTACTATCTTGATAACAATTTAAATTTTTTCTTTGTGATACTTTTTTAGTGCTCCTTTTTTGGCTTTGACTCGTGAATTTAGAACTACTTATCAACTAGATGGTTAGTTAGTTGCAGCAATGTTGGTGTCATGACCCAAATCCGGGGCACGTACTGTCCGCTTTGGCCCAATAAACCTCACAGATTTGTCCCTGGGTTATGCCATTCTCGAGCCCCAAAAGTGCCCGTACCATGTGAAGTTGTATTGTGCCTTATAAAGCTCTTCACTTTTTTGGTTCATTCTGATGTTGGATTCGCCTAAAGTGACATGTGCACCCCTTCTTCAGAAGCTTGCTTGCAAGCCTAGAAGCTTGCGCGTCCTGCTTGTCCTGCCCTCGTCAGCCCGCCTTGCATCATAGGTGTCACATTCACCCCCCTTGGGACTCAGCATCCTCGTTGAGGTTTGCCCTACCATCGTATTGTGAGAGATTCAACTTGATACCATATTTGTCACGACATAGGTCCATGACACGTATTGTCCGCTTTGGTCCAATAGACCTCATAGATTTGTCCCTAGGCGTACACCATCATCGAGTCCTAAAAATGCGCGTACCATGTGAACTTATGTTGTGCCTTATAAAGCTCTTCACTTTCCTTTCTCATTCCGATGTGAGATCACTTAAGGTGACATGTGCGCCCCTTCTTCAGAAGCTTGCTAGCCTAGAAGTTTGTCGGTCCTGCTTGATCCTCCCTCATCAGCCTGCCCTCCGTCATACGCATCATAGTTGGATTGTATTTGTGCGCGCACATCTTTTTTTCTATTTGACTTGCATATTATTTTGACCTAATGAAATATTTCACGATGTGGCTGGTAACAATAAACTACTAAAGCATTGAAGAAGCTGAGAACAATCGATTCCTTTCAAAATCCTAACCTCAAAGTCTTGTGCATTAATTTCAATTCTTAAGTTATTGAACTAGTTATCTCGAGATACTTTGTATCTGGATATGTGAGCATAGTGTATGCTTGGGTAGTTGGTAGGTAGTGTATCCTAGCATTATTGGGGAGCAGACACATTGATAAAGTTGTGAAATACAAGATATAAAATCAAGAGAATGTGTCTTGCGCATAAGTGCTTCTATAGATACATTATACATACTATTTAATCTTTTATAAGATACGATGTATTCAATGTTTGCCGAGTTAAATATTGCTAATTCTAAGCTAACACTTCTCCTCAAGTGGGCAAATTTACTAAGTTTGGTACATATGTAATTCTGTCGCACCCCAAAACTCGAGGGACGTGACCAGCAACCAATGCCTTATGCTTACTATCAAGCAAACAAACTTAACATGAAATACTTAACATAGCCCATGCATGGATACAATTCATAAACATTTGAAGAATAACTTTCAATCATAAAGCATGGCCCATTGGCCTAAACATTTGAATATCATAAAACAACATAATCTTTGAAATATCATGCGAGACTTTAACTTACATAACAAAACATAAACTATATCCCACAACATGTATGGAGTGTCTAGGACATGACGAATGAAAGAAAAGTTTCGGACAACCCAGACACCCAAAGAATAAAACTGACTAGCTTCCACGGGCAAAGCGAGGCTCACCAAAAGCAGCCGTGGGAGTGAGGGAGAGGTCCTAGCAAGCGGTAGCATTTCCGAATATCAACAACTGCATTCACATCTACCTAAGTCTTGGTGGACAGAGCTACCTGGTAACTGTAGTGGTGAGAGGTAGCAGGTATCCTGTGGAATTAGTCGAGGTGCGTGCGAGCTGACCTAAACACCACAATTATAAAAACATAAAGATTATCTTTGGAGGATTGACCTTCGATTTTATTGGCTATGTTACAGTCTGACCATTGGATGTATGTCTTTGGGAGAATAAGGCCACGATATTATGTTGAATTGTCAGTCTTTCCTTACAATTGGTACGTGTTCACCAGTTCAATGTTATGTCCGGGTTGCATCTTTTTGCTGGTGCATTGTTTTGGAAAAAAAAATTATTTCCAGACACCCTTCTTTTTGGGGGACGTTTTAAATAATAGAACATGTATTTTTTTTCGTTTAGTTTTTAAACAGATATAGGTATCATGGTGCTTTCCTTGTCTCACCAGCAAGAAATGATGTTCTTTGTGATGGAATACCAACACCTCTTGCAACCAATTGAGCTTGCATATGTTTGTAAACTGTTATTGCTTAAAATTCTCTAGTTAACCATTAATTCATTTAGGTAAATTCTGATGGAGGCAAGCCAAATATTCATCAACCTTCTCTAAGTTTCCAACTTGACATGTCACATCTTAAGCAGGCTGCTACTTTATCTGTGAAGGTACTATAATTTTCCTTGCTTTTTTACAATATTTAGGTCAGTTACAAGCTTTTAACTATTGGCACAACATTTTGCAGCTATCATGAGTTATTTAATTTTGAATGGGAGGTTTTTTCAAAGACTTACATCCTCTACGTTCGTGTAAAAACAGGCATCTATCCAGCCACTTCACATAACCTGTGATTTAGAATGTGTCAAGAATATTATGAGTCTTTCTTCCCTTTTGGAACACTCCTGTTCTCTGCAGGACACGGTAAGTATTCGAGTTATTATGATTATTGTACTTAGAGATCCATAAAATTTGATACTTTTTGAGATCGCTTAATCCAGAATCTGTCTTATTTCCACTTTAGCCTCCAGGTTAATCCACTGATAAACATAGTTACATTTTATTGTATTACGTACAAAAGGTAATACTGAAAACATGACATTCTGTTTGGTGGTGTTCGGTATCAGTGCGTTGCATTCATTTAATAATTGATTTCTGATTGCCTTTAATATTTTTTGCATGAATATTTCTTATATAATGAATCATGCAATGGATGTCCTAATAGTGCCAGAGAGCATCAAGTTATTAATGCAACAAGAATAGTAGCAGAGAAAAGATACATTAATAACTTGATGAATAGATACTCCTATTAATAGGAGTCAAACACGTACCATATATCATATTTGTCGAAGCAGACAATATCTAACTAATAGACTTAACTTCTCGACTACAACTCTCAACACTGGGCAGGTCTGCCAAATGTCAAAGGCGGCGTAACTGATCAGTTCTTATTTTAAAAACGAAAAGTAGTGCAGCCAGAACACTTCATTAAAAGTTTGGTGATTAATAATTTTAAATCTTAATTTCTTATAAAACTAACATTATAAGTTACATATCAGCATATCGCCAAATGCAAGTTAAGGTAACAAATTTGATTACTTTGAAATCAGAGTAAATAGTTGTCAGAACAGTACTGATGGAGCGGTTGGAGCAACTTATCAGAAGTTCATAGAATGTTGCTGAAAAAGGATAGTTTTCAAAATCACCCCAAAAAAAGTTGCAAAACATGACCAGAATAAGGCAAGGCCACCATACAGGAAAGAGCCCCAGTACTTTTGGAACATTCACCTTAAGGAAGTGCAGATTGGCATCAGATGATCACTAGAAAGAGGCACTGTTCCTTTGGAATTATCAGTGGAAATGAAACATGTGCTGGCTGGACTAGTCACTAGTGCGAGAGAGTGTCATTGGAGTGGTTACTCAAAAAGACATAATGCCAGAACAGTCACCAGAAAGTAGAATTCCTAAATTATGAGAAGGGAGAAACTTTAGATTACTTGATATCTGACGAATGCCATAAATCTCTACCGAGAAATTGTAAATGCTCAAATAACATGTCAGGAAAATCAGAAAAGAGAAAAGAGAAAAGAGAAAAGAGAAAAGAGAAGAGAGACATTGATCGTTTGATGTATGGATAACCCAGTTACAGATGTCAAACACAACACCCATGATAATTTTCCAATGGGGGGAAGACATTCAACTTGAAGTTTTAATTCTCCTTGTATAATTGTAACATTAAAACATAGCATTCTTATACCTAAACTAATAGTTGCTTTAACTAATAAAGCAAGGTTTTGGCAAGTTAGATGATGTCGTGACTTGATATTGTACCGTGTTTCAGATTCTGTCGTCCATCAACAAAATTCAAAATATTAATGCACGACTTCAGACTAAAATTGGGTAAGTACATCTAGCAAGCTCATCTATTAAATATATCTTCTTGCCTCCTAGTCAAACACATGGATATTACATGTCCATTTAATAGGGTCATACTGATGCGAATCAATTGGATATCTATGTTAATCCTCCTGCTCCTGCTGTTATTCCTACGTTTTATATTTCTCCACAGGCATGTCTTATCAAATCGCAAGATTGTTACATGGAATGTCCATATATTGGGTATTACCGTCCTTGTTCCTGCTGGAGATGCAAATTCCGACATGCAGAAGATGGTGAGTTATTCCATGCCATTTTTGGTGCGTTATCTCCATTTCCCATTATTATAGTCTCCCCCTTGTCTTTTAGCTCTTCACTTTCCAGACTTTCCTCCTACCTTGATATTCCTTCTAGGTCTGTAACAACTAAATATGCGCCATTCAACCTGGGTAGTATATTCTATCATGGGAGATATATTTGGATTTGCAATTCCAAATCACATGTATATTTTGTTCAATTCCCTAAATGAGGTTGTTGTTTATCTTCACCGTGCAAAATATGCTGGATTCTTAGCTGGATAGTTTGTTAATGATGTTTGTTTACCTTTTTTAATTTTTTCCTGGTTGTCAAGTAATTTTGCCTCGGACTTGGTATCTAATGACCTCACATGAAAGGTGCATGTATATTTTGTTCAGTTCCCTAAATGAGGTTGTAGTTTATGTTCATTCTGCAAAATATACCGGGATTCTTACGTGGCTAGTTTGTATGACCCACGATAGAAAGACGTGGAGGTCGAGGATTAGGGTTGTAGGTTGACAGTTAGTAGTGTGTTCCTCCTAGGCTTACCACTGGTACTAGGACTATTTTTGTGTTATCTTATTCATGATTCTTTACTATTACATGCTTTGTCATTCGTGCCCGTTACCTTAATATATTGTTGTTAAGTGTGCTACTTGTTGCCTTGTCTCCACTGTTCCTTGAGCTGAGGGTCTATCGGAAACAACCTCTCTATCTTTATAAGGTAGGGGTAAGGTCTGCGTACACACTACCATCTCCTACCCCATTTATGGGAATACACTGGGCTCGTTGTTGTTGTTGTAGTATTGCATTTTTAGTGGCCTGAAATTTCTAGTTTGGGCAGGTTCTTGAAGCAGGGGAATTAACCTTTGCATCAAAAGGTGACAGAGATACTTTATTAGCATCGTCTTGTTGCACTAGTGATGTTGTCTTGGGTTGTCAGCTTCAAGATCTCTATGATCACTTTGAGATTAACATTAGTGATCTTGAGGTCAGTCATTTTGCTCCTTTTTACTCAATTCCTAATCGTATGATGTCAGTTAAGCGTGACTTCTTGCTGCAGGTAAAAATTTTGACTTCATATTCCTCTGGAAATGTCAACCTTCTGGAGAAATTTAGTACCAATATCAATTTGAGATTGTGCATTATTCCTGACGAATCAGAGTTGAAAAATTGTGAGGTAAGGGAACCATTTTCATGATTATGTTTTCTATACCTAGAATTACCAGTTCAATTTTGGGTTTGCAATGGTCTTTCTTTTCTCTTGAAATCATAGGGTCTTACATTTTCAAGCCTTGAATGTGCATGGATCTAATTTTGCTTACAAATTACTGTTTGTTTGCGTCTATGGGTAAAAAGAGAAAAGTTTAACTGCTGAATTTACAAATAATTTTTTTCCCACATTTAAGCTCATTGTTTTTATTGCCTTCAAGATACTAAAGATGCTTCTTTTTCTTCTCATTAATTGGGTGGCACAGTTTCGTGTGGGACATGACCCATACCGTTAAATTTTAAATGGGAAAGCATGACTATTGCTTTTTGACTAATATAATTGGTAGAAGTCCTACTAAATCCCATGTTACCTTTATGCTGAACTACTTTTACTCTTCCAGGCAAAGGTCAGTAAAAAAAATTTAGAGGGAAATATCCATTTGCTTTTAGTTTGAAGAATATATAGTATCAAAGTTTATCAATCTTGCTTGTTATTACTCCAAGACTGTCTATTTATTTAATTATTGCAGGTGTCTAATTTACTTTTTTTTTTTTTTAAAAAAAATAGTACTTTAGGGTGGTTTATCTTTGTTGTTTCGTTCAAATTTTAAAAACTCTAGCTTATCACATAGTACAAAGTCTTCGATACCTTTTTAATTTTAGGGTTCTGTAGTGACGGAGAGAGTGGCATATAGCGAACACGACTATCCCTTTACGCTGTCACCAAAATCCACGCCTCAAAACCTGTGAATAGGTTATGAAATGAGCAATCTACCAATGGCATCAACACCTGCACTTGTTCCTATAAAGGTTAGGTTAGAAATTCAATCTTGGTGATGTCCATTTTTTGGTGATTATTGGTGGGTATATTGTTTTAAGTAATGTTTCATATCTGGTGAAACATGGCAAGTATTTTGGTTTTAATCACTGTATTAAGTTGCAGAATTTGGGTCATGTGGACAATCTTAAAGGTATAATAGCTGATGTTACGCATGAAGAAGATGTTCAAGTTGTGATTGTCACACTAACAAACTGAAACATCTGCCGATTTGAGTGGTTGTATGGAGCAAGTTCTGTTAGACTGTTATGATGCTACTCCACTTGCTAGGTTTTCTAATTCGCAAAGTATGTCTTTATGTTTGATCAGATGCTTATATTGTAGGTTGCTTTTTTGCTTTCAGGTTGATATTGAGGTTTCATCGGTTCTTGCTCACTTTTCACCATTACTATACGGGGCAATTATGGAACTAATTGTTGATTTTAATATTTTGCGTCTATCATCAGACTCCTTGGCGCTAACTACAGTTAATGGAAGTGGGGTATCTGCCGGTTTTTGGTTCTCCATTGCTGCAAATGTGAAATCTATTGGTTTCTTGATTGATTTTGAAAGTGATGTAGAAAATGCTTGCAGTCTCATGTTTTTGCTTCAGACATTAAATATTCGGTATGTGGGTTTGCATCTTGTTTTACTTTTTATCAACCAGACAAGGATATACCATTAGTAATAGCGAAAATACACAAAAGATGAGATGTTATACAAAGTTGGTAAGTGAAATCGTGTTGCAGCTTTATACTCCTAGACATATCATAAATAACGAGCCCGTCTATTAACCATCCTGGGTTTTCACCGCTAGAATGCTACAAGAATTTCTCTAGTGCATAATCATCATACCAGTGTGATTTCAAAAATCATTGGTGGCTCTCCTGAATGGTCTCTTGACATGCGTCTCTTGCTTAGCTGTTTATTTCCAAAATACTTGACAGTTGACAATAAGTGGCACGTCCGATAGAGGAGTTATTTTCTGCTCCGATAAAATTGGACTGTTTTTGTTTGTTTACCTCAAGTCATCCGTGATACAATGCCAATTTCAGGTAAATCAGTCATGCCATCCACCATGATGGAGTCTAAACTGTAGCATTGATTGGACCATTGTCTTAAATTCTATTAATATTTTCTTCGAAATCAGATAGACATTTTGAAGTGCTTCCTTTTAACGGTGGTGTTCGGGCTAGCTTGTGTGAACCTAGACTATTCGACGGGCATCTCTGTCCTCCCACTAGTACAGATTTTGTGTGAATCTCCCCACGAAGACTTGAGCAGATGAAGCATGATCTTACTTTTTTGTCTCTGCTGGAATCCAATATTTTCATGGAACCTTCATTGGCTGCTAGGCTACACACTAGGGTGCTGAATTTGTTTTAAGTTTTTATTTTGTTTTTGGCTGGCAGCAAGTGAGCTTGACTACTTATCTGGCGAGAAAACAAATAGAGGACTAAAGGTGCATTTGAAGTTGTGGCTGAAATAGTTGTATTTCGACTTAACCTTTAAAATTCAAGTATTCACTGTAAAGAAAATATTAGAAAACATTCTCTCTTTGTGCTGGTGAGAGGTAGCAGGTACCCGTGGAATAAGTCGAGGTACGTGCAAGCTTGCCTGAACACCATAATTATCAAATAAAAGAAAATAAAAAAAACATCATGTTGTCTGGTATCTATCCTTCAATCATTTATTTTCTTGTGTTCCAGGAGAGATACTTTTCAAATCATTTCTGTACTAAGTGTTCACTTTATGAAGTTGCAGGTTTGATGGAAAAGAGTCCTTAGAGGGAAGGGCCTCAGTGAAGGATATAAAGATCCATGATTATTGTGGTAGAAGTGAAGGGAAAAGCCTTACCTTTTGCTCATCTCGAAGCTCGTCAGGATCTATGTATCAGGATGATAATGGTGTCAGAATTGACCGTCAAACTGGGGATTCCGATAACAAAAGTAGTACCAATGATCCGTGCATTCTGTTCCATTACAAATACTATGAGAATTCAGGATTCATTGGTCATGAATGTAAATTGAGTTTAAGTGATCTTGATATTCACTGCTACCGTTTTATAATTGGAGTTTTGGTAGGATTTGTTGATAAGCTATCTAAAATCAGAACTTCTCTTCGAGTTGCGGGCAACCCTTTAGTGAATAGCAACAATTGCATTCCTAGTTTTCGTTCCTCGCTTCAAAATTCTGGTTTCTTCAACTTTTTAAAAACTTCTGTGTCTGAATGGGCAAGCATTTCATTGGATCATTTCCCTTTCATCACCCTAACAGATACTGGTTCACTTAATCTTGGAGGTTTCTCAAACGAAAATTTCGTTGAGTGGTGGAAGGTTCTCAATTTAAGGGACAGCAAGGGCATAAATCCTAAGGCCGACATAGAGAATAAAACTAACAGTCAGCTTCCATCTTCTGTTAAGTCGTCTTCTCAAATTTATGATGCTAAAAAGGCGTATTTCATTGATTTGGAGCTCAGCAACTGCAGAGTTCATTTTCATGAACCCCCTTACGTGATTGGAACTCTTCTGTTTCCAAATGTCAAGTCTGCATTGTGTATTTGCGCCGACTATCTGGATATACTTTGCTCTGCTGAGGGTTTGGCTCTTTCTTCTTTACAGTGGACTCATATGATGCAGGATTTCCTTTGGGGTCCCTTGACATCCAGTTCCTCTCCAACTTTGAACCTACGTATCAGGAAAGAAAGTGAAAAGTCACCGTTGAAAATGAGTTTCAGTATCCAGAATGTGTCTTGTGTTTTACCGCCTGAGTTCCTTGCAGTTATCATTGGTTATTTTTCCTTATCTGATTTGAGCAGTCCCGGATTGCCTATTACAGAAAGCTCTAACTCTAACACTTCAAAAGACAATGTATGCACTGAATTTATGTTTGAGATACTGGACTCCAACTTATTTATACCGACGGGGACTAGTGGATCTCAATTTCTGAAGCTTGATATACGACGGTTATATTCTGGTTTCACGCAAAATGGTGAAGCAAAGTTTGTGCTGAAGGATATTCCTGCGGAGTGCTTGGTTACAGAAGATGAAATTGCTCACAGAAATGATTGTCTGGACTTATTTGGATATGACTTATCTCTATCTTTGATGCAATTGGAAGAAGAAGCATCTAATTGTTCAGGTTCTTTTTATGGCCCCACTTGGGCAAATATCATCTTGATTGCGCCATTTAGTGCTGATGTATGGGTGAGATTACCATCCCAATGTGAATGTTGCGATGTCGTATCCTGTTATCCAAGTTGCATTATGACAATAGTCAAGGTTTGTCAACTCAACGCTGAAGGTAAGAATCAGATTCTGTCATAGGTTTTCTTGAGTATTCAAGCAAACCTTTTTACATCTCAGTATTTGCTATTTGTGCACAGGTGCATCACTCATGATTGGGTGTGAAGCAATGATGGATATGATAGATCAGTTTTCCTCTGTAAATAAACAAGCCGAAGCATTCAAATCTGATATCTTACAGTTTTTTCTACGCAAGGAGGGGAAAAAGGAAAAAGATGCATCTCTGCCTCAAGCCTCTCCTGAAAATTTCATGATAATCCAAGCTTCTGTGAGGTCAATGTCCATAAAATTGCGAGAACAGAAAGGAGAATCAGTTGCTTCTGACCTCATTGGGGAGGTTAACATGCAGTTGCTGTGTTCTGCCTCTTTAAAAAATGATGAACTCTCAAGGCTGAGGATCTCCTTCTCTTATCTACAGCTATTCTCATCACTGAACTCTGTTTTGCTTGCAGAATGCTGTTCTAACTCTGGCTTACCTGTTATTGTAACAACATTTTCATTGTCTGATCATGGTGCAAATATGCTTTCTGTTTCCATGTCTTTGCTAGATGTTTGGATACATTTGTCTGACTGGGTTGCGATCATCAATGTACTCCATTCTTCCTCTACAAAACAACCCAAGATCTTAATGACAAACTCATTATCAAAGAATATTGCACATGTCCCTTTTGACCAACTCAAGGATGATGAAAATGATGGCCCACAAAATTCCTATCCATGTCCAAATATTTTGACGTCTGAAGTAAATGCGGGGCATGTTTCTGGAATTCACTATGTTGAGTTGGAAAGTTTTAGTGTCCAAATTCATGTTCCTGCTTGGGTTAGAAAAGATGCTTTGAACACATCAGAGTTGAAGCAGGGCGAAAAGAGCATGAATTATTTACGAAACATGATTTATGGAAATAGACACGGCCTTTTTACTGTTGGCTTTCAAGCAAGGAATACTAAACTTTTTAACTTCGGGACTACTATGAGATTGAAAATTGATCTAGATAAAACCTGGGGTACAGTGGAGCTAGTAAAGGATGATACCACACGCACATGGCCCCTGTTTGAACTATTTCAAGTGAACCTGGAAGCTGAAATTTGCACTAGTTGCATTGAGCGTATCCATGCGAAGGTGGATCTTCAATGTCACTGTCTGGATGTATGGTTATCAGATCACATTCTTTATTTCTGGCAGTTTGTGGATTTTGAATGTCCAGCAGCTGGGCCTTCTCAGTTTAGTGTCAGTCAAGTGAAATTTGAAATCCAGCTTAGAAAGTTTTCTCTTCTTTTGGCTGATGGAAAGGTGATTTCATCTCTATAGCACTATCTCTACTGACATCATTTCTGCAGTGTGCTTTTGCTAGATTGGACTCAAAAGTGCATGTTGATAACTTGATCTCTTGCTATTTGTTAGTTAGTTAGCTGTTACGTAAATAAGCATAGTCCTGATCATTGCAGTAATAGCAATATTATCAACATAGACCACCAGAAAAATACAGAGACTTGAAGTAGAATGCCGATAAAACACAGAGTGATCGGCTTCACTCCGAGTCATGGGGTAACTGTGTTGAACTTAAAAAACCAGGCTTGAGGAGACTTCTTTAGACCATAAAGTGACCGCGCAAGTGACATACAAGGCCACGAGACTCCCGCTGAGCAACAAAACCAGGTGGTTGCTCCATATAATCTTCATCCTCAAGGTCACCGTGAAGAAAAGCATTCTTAATGTCCAACATGGATAGAAAAAGGCAGCTTGATGCTATTTTAGCCATAGGAGAGAAAGTATTAACTGTAATCGATAAATATCTGAGTATATCCTCTGGCAACAAGATAGGCCTTTTCCCGAACCAAATAACATGTTTGGAATGGATGAAACAAGGGCATCACCTTGGAATAAATAGATCGCCACAGAATACTACATAACTGAGCATCGATCTTCTCCCAAAGTGCTTTGTCCGTTTCATCTCCTTCGCTAGACTTTTTGAGTAAATGATCTTGAACACATAGACCTTTCACCACAACTCGACAGACGAAGCCCAAGCTATGTAGTTTGAATTTCCCGTTAAAGGTTCTGAGGTAATCATAACATCGGAACTGCAGAGCCCGTGTTTTTAGATTCGAAAACATCAACTCCCAAAGACATCGTTGGATTGAAGAGAGGTCTATAAAATTATCACCAATAACAGAAAGAATCAATTGAAACTCGTTGAAACAGACATTGTATTTGCCGGAAAAATTACTGTAGCTGCTGGAAAATCAGTGTAGTCGCCGAAGAAATCTTAAAGTGTTCGGAATAAAAAGAAAACAGTATGGGCCTGTCAGAATTACTAGACGATAAGACTGTCCTGAAGAAACTTTTCCAAAAAATGGCCGGAACAATGGTCACTCGCCGGCGTGTGGGTTCTACGCGCTGCCGGTGTCAGAACTAAGTTCTGGAGGCGCAACAGAGCGCGTGGTTAGGGTTCTACCGGTGTGGCTTTCTGGTATTTGGTCGCCCGAGAATTCCGCACTTGCTAGTGCTGTTATTGTTCGTAAAAAAGTCCACTGGAGAAGGGATCACTCAAAAAACAGCCTGAAATTCACCGGAAAAAGGCACGGTGACTGTCTAGGACTCGCTGGTTACTGCATATCTGGGATTTCTCACGAGTTGCTCTGATTCCATGTGAAAAAGCACGAGAAAATATATTTTTCATGTATATTAACCATAATATAAGTACCCCAATTTATAACAATACGCAATACCTTCCCTACTCCTATTCCATGTAGGACTATGCTTATTTACATAACAGCTAACTAACTAACACTATTCAACTGTCTTAAATCCATTACTATCTTTTAGAAGTATTTAATTGATTTATGCTCTTAAGGGTACCATTGGGAAGCTGTAGACCATCACCGTAGTTCCTTTAATGGTTCCTCCCTTTTGTTTGAACAGTAAATTGACAGTTCAGGGTAGGAATTATTCCTCACTGGTGACTGACATCTGTTTCCTGGCATTCTTTTGTCTGGCACGAAACTTTTCTTGCAAGGTCTTGTGTACTCTACATGAATTTTCTCATTGATATTGAGTGCGGGGGTAAAGTTATGAACATGCATGCTGCTGGTATCCATTTTCACCTTTGGTCCATCATGTCAGTTAGAAGTTGTAGGAGCACTTTGAAATATATCTTGTTTCAGAGAAGTCTAGTTCCTGGAAGCTCACAAAGATATAGGAATGCTGTTAGTAATTAGGATTTGGTCTCTAGGTTTTCGGAGTGTGCTATAATTTCTTCTTCTTCAGTATTATTATTGTTAAGATCTCCCACATTACTTGCGGAAATGGGCTATTGTCACCTAATATGATTTTGGGCAATCCTCACCTCGAACGTTTGAGATTGAGTTTAGGCCCAATTTTCATTGTCTTTACATGGTATAAGTGCCACACACATTCCTATTCTTGGTTAACCCCATGTTACACAACAACAAACCCAGTGTAGTCTCACAAGTAGGTTTTGGGGAGGGTAGAGTGTACGCATACCTTACCCCTGCCATGTTGCACCCCTATGTTATATTATCCACACTCGAAAAAGTCCAGCCTTCACGGAGTTCTAAGAATGTCCCACATTGGTTGAGAGAAGGGCTTATTGCCTCCTTACGCGGCCCAGTGCAATCCTCATCCCATGTGCTAGTTTTTTGATTGTTAAGCCTTATGTCCATCTTCTTTACAATTATGCTCATATTTTCACGAAAAAGTTGTTTTTTTTTCTTTTATCATCGCTGTCAAAACCCCTCTGCACTGAATTGGGAAGAGTTTCTTTTTCTCCTTTTCTTTATCTCGTTATTGTCTCCTTATGTTGTCCTGGGCAAGCATCACCTCTTTTTTTCTTTTTCTTTTTTCCTATTCTTTTTTGGGTTGTTTTCTAACTTTTGTTTATGGGGGTGGCGTGGGGTGTGGTGGCGTGAGGTTCTAGGCTGCAATTTTATCCCTGATGTTCCGTCATATTTAATCTTTACTTTTCTGGTCTTTCATCTGGTTAATTGTGTGGTCTTTGCTTTTTTACTGCTGATGAGTGGGGCGATTCTTGTTTGTTTCATGCCAGTATTGTCTTTTTTATCTTTTGACTACAATGAGTTATTGTCCTTTGATCATTTCTGCTAATTATATCTCATAAATTCTTCAGCTACAAACGTTTTGCTAATACCTGTGTATTTTTCTCTAGTGGAGTTCAAGTGGACCTTTGCTGGAGTTGCTCATGACAAACTTGCTTCTTTGCTCAAATATAGCTGGAAATGAAATGGAGGGTTTAGTGAAGTGTGAAGTCCAAGTGAACTACAATAACATTGACAAGGTAGAGATAACAAATCATGGTTTGTCTTTTATTGGACTTCTGGTTCACTAATTTTATTTTATATCTGGGACAATAGGCATTGTGGGAGCCTTTCCTAGAGCCATGGAAAGTCCAACTAAGCATACGAAGGCATGACGACCATTCCCTTTTGAGTAGTGACGTTACTAGCAATCTTCATATCGAGTCGACAACTCAACTTAACTTGAATCTTACCGAGTCACTTATTGAGGTAATTTAGTTTTAACTGTTTTGCAAGAAAACTCTCTGTTGCATTTGTTGATAAAATTATTTATTGAGAAAAAGGAATCCCTCTTGGCATTTTCTGGTGGAAATTGTGAGAAAATAGAACAAGGAAGAAAGAATTGTGAGAAACTCTACTCGATTATTCCCTCAAGCTATTGGGTATTTAGATAGTAAGGCATACATGTTCTAAACTAGGAAAGCAAATCAACATGTACATAATTACAGGAAACACCTTATCAATTTTTTTTTTTTTTTTACTGAAAACTAGTCATCCTAATTTGTTTGTGATCCTAGTTGTTATGCTGTGTATTTACAATATCCTTAACTCCCCTCAAGCTGGTGCATATAAATCGTATGCGCCAAGCTTGTTGGCGCATACATGGTGAATATATCTTCTAGCTGATCATTCCAGTTTACGAACTTTGTGAAAGTATCTCTTGAGATCATCTTTTCTCTGATAAAATGACACTCAATTTCTATATGTGTAGTCCTCTCATGAAACACCGTATTTGATGTGATATGAAGTGCAACTTGATTATCACACACAAGTTCATTTGGCCAATCTTTCTAAATTTCAATCCTTTTAGTAGTTTGCTTGATCTAGATGAATTTGTAGGCGCCACTTCCATTGCTCTTTATTCAGCTTCTGCACTCGATCTTGCAACTACATTTTACTTCTCACTTTTCCAAGACACTAAATACTACTAAGGTCTATTTAGTCTTAATCATTGAGAGAGTCAAACCTATTGCAACTCAAAAGTCACAGAAGTCTTCTCCATAAATTCAAAAACTGCTTGTATTTGCCTTTATTCTTATATCATTATCTTGTTGGTGTTTCTACGTTTTGTGTCTGTTTCTTTTACTTTTATTTTGAGCCAGGGTTCTAATGGAAACAACCTCTCTACCTTCACAAAGTAGGGGTAAGGTCTGTGTACACTCTACCCCTCCCAGACCCCACTTTGTGGGATTACACTGAGTTTGTTTTTGTTGTTGCTGCTTATATTTGCCTTTATTCATCATCGAATAAAATTTTACACACTTCTATTGTCTTGACAATGGTCTCACCTATGAATGGCATCATAGTATATTATAAGTGGACGTCAGTTGGCGCCTAATAACAAAACATCACCACTGTTATCCTCGTCTTTCTGAGCTTTAATGAGATCAACCTTGTGTCATAAAATACTAGATTATTTTTTGCTGCATCCTTGAAAATGATATGACTAAGCATCATAGGTCATCCTAAGCAGATTTAGGTTAGTAATATGAATCATCTCTATCCATATTCAAAGGATTCAACATAGTTTGACTATTTTTATGCTGGTTGTTGTTAGATAGTTATTGAAATAACGTGAATTAGTCCTAGTCCCACATAGAGTAGGAGTAAGATATACAACAACAACAACCTAGTGAGTTCCCGCAGAATAGGAGTAGGATATGTATTGTATAAATTGGGCCCATTGTATTATAATTGAATAGAATATCAAAAAATAGATTTTTCTCCCATGCATTCTCACAGTTGTTAAGCTAAAGCAACTCTCCTTTACATAATCTTGGGACTCGATATGTTTTACAAAGCTAACATTGATGGAGTTCCTTGTCCGAAATGAATATGCAGATTTTTTCTTTTTTAAAAAAAATTATCCCTGATTTAGGATTAAATATGAGTTCATTTGTTTTTTGTACACTACTCTTATCTAGTTTTTTTGTTTAAAGAAGTTCTCATCCTTAGTTTCCTTTCATCCGATCGGCGTAGAGGAATTCTTGCAGTATGCTTGCAGAATATTGACAGAAATATAGCAAATTGCACAATGTAAAATTTTACTACAGACTTGCTGATTGGTCATCTCTTTTAAATACAATTCAAACGAGATAGCTGATATATGTCTCTTTCCTTTTGCTTTCCTTTGGTGAAGGTTGTTTCTAGGGCAATTGAGATGACTAAAAATGCATGGGATGTGGTACAGTTGACTGCTAATTCTGAGATCCCATCATTCTTAAAGTCTCAGATAAGTGAAAATCTGGACACCCGGAGTTCTCCTCCTTATATACTGCAAAATCTGACTTCGTTGCCTTTAGAGTTTCATGTCTATCAACAGCAGCAGAGTGGTTATGGCTTAGAAGTACCCTCCGTGAAAGGTGGAAAGTATTTACAACCAGGATCTTCTATTCCAGTTTATGTTAGTGAAAGTCTTGAGGATCAAATTTTACGCTATAGGCCCGCCCAATCCTGTGACCAATTTGGTGACAAAAAATCGGTGGAGCCATCACATCATTATATCATTGTTCAACTCGAGGGAACATCATTTCCTTCTGCTCCTATTTCAATGGATCTTGTTGGTATTAGATACTTTGAGGTCGATTTTTCCAAATCATCAAGGAAGTTTGATATTGATACAACTAAGAATGTTCCAAACAGTAGTATAAATGATGGAAGGAACGGTAGAATAGAAGAAAAAAGTGGCTTTATCGTTCCTGTAGTGATTGATGTGTCCATACAGAGTTACACGAAGATGGTGCGGTTGTACTCAACTGTAAGTGGCAATGCTGGTCATATTTTGTGCAGTGTTGATTATCTATACTGCTTTACATATTTCGGTTTGATTTCAGGTAGTAGTATCAAATGGAACTTCTGTGCCTCTTGAAGTACGGTTTGACATTCCATTTGGTGTTTCTCCAAAGGTATATAGGCGGACGTAATTCTATTGGTTCAGGAAAAAGAATACCAGTATCTGTTTAGTTTTGGCTGGATTTCTGTCCCTACACTTTTTCGTAACTTCTGTCATTTCCCTTGTTTGTCATGTCAGATTCTGGACCCCATATATCCTGGTCAACAGTTTCCTCTTCCATTACATTTGGCTGAAGCAGGACGAATGAGATGGCGTCCTCTTGGTAATTCTTACTTGTGGAGTGAAGCCCACAGTATTCCAAATATTCTTTCAAATGAAAATAGAATCAGCCTTTTGCGCTCTTTTGTCTGCTATCCATCTCATCCAAGCAGTGACCCTTTCCGCTGCTGCATATCTGTGCATGATTGGTGCTTAGCGTCAGCTGTGTCACCAGAAAAAGGGTTTTCTTTGTCCAACAATATTCTAACACAGCCCCTTAAAGCTCATAGCAATGTAACTTACATGCTTAAGTCTGAGAAGAGGAATGTACATCAGTTGACTTTAAGCAGTCCATTGGTGTTGAAGAACTATCTTCCGGAGATGGTGTCCGTGACAATAGAAAATGCTGGTGTTTGTCGTTCTGCAGATGTGTCAGAGGTTTGCACTATGTTATAGTTACTAATATTTCATGAATAAATTTGTTTTAATTTGTGTTTCTTTACCAGCATAATTTTCCGTTTCTCCCAGGTTGAAACTTCTTTCTTCCATGTTGATTCTTCACATGACCTCACAATAACTTTTGACATGCCTGGATATAAACCTTCAGCTGTGAAATTTCCACGTGCTGAAACATTTGGTGAAATAGCGAAGTTCAGCGGAACAAGGTTCTCTTTGTCGGAGACTATTACTTTTGACCCTCAGTCATCAGATGGTACCTGTTGAATTTTGCATGCCTGTTCTTTGTCATCATACCAGCATTATTAGTTCTGTCTCTTATTATTTTTTATTCTATAATCTCCACTTTATTAGGTCCTCTGTGTGTTGCAATTGAGAAGGTGATGGATGCATTTTGTGGAGCTCGTGAAATATGCATTTCGGTTCCATTTTTGCTATACAATTGCACTGGTTTCCCCCTTGTTGTATCTGAATCTGTCAACTGGGCAAAAGGCCATTTTAGTGTCATTACTTCTTGCTATGATGTGGACGAGCAGGACCTAATTCTCCGCAAGAAAGATGGTCTTGGTATTTTGACTTCTAATCAAGATATGGATACAGCGTCGAATAGCAACATTCTGCCTGTAGCTCCCTTGAGCAATAACCTCGTCACAAAGTCACATGACCCTAAATTCTCTGGGACACAATCAATTGAGTTTGATAATTCAACAGTTTTTCACCGGGGTTCACAGAAGCATGATAAAGCATCGCTTCACTGGAGTAGGTCTTATACAAGTAGTCAATCCAGCTTAAAATCTTGTAGCTTAACAGAAGGTGATGCTTGGAAGGTTAATTGCCGGATGTATTCACCTAACCCAAGTTTGTCTTCAAGTGAAATTATGGTCCGACTGTGTAGATATCTACCTAATTGTCTGATGGATGACATTCCTAACGATTCTTGGTCTATCGCTTTTTCTCTTGTGCCACCTACTGGTTCGACCAGTGTAACGGTCCCACAACCATCCTGGAAATCCGGCTATGTAACTTCTGTTAGTGCTGTTGCAGCACCATTTTTGGGTAGGACAAGAATTATTACCTTTCAGCCAAGGTACTCTGCAATATCATAATTATGTCATTCTACTACCATATTCAAAGGGTTTATTTAACATCTTCCTGCCGGGAATGTATCTATAACTAAGCACTCATAATTCTACAGATACGTAATCAGTAATGCATGCAACAAGGAATTGTGTTACAAGCAGAAAGGAACAGATGATGTTTTCACATTGGAATCTGGAAGGCATTCTCATATTCAGTGGACGAATACAATGAGGTATATTGTGACGGTGGTTGGCATTATCATTGCTCATTGATATCTCAAGTTACTTCTAAGTTTGCACATATTACGAATTCCCCTCATAAATGTTAATTACTTCTAAACTAAGTGCACATGCATTTGTAGGTACATATAGAACTCCGGCACCTAGTTATTGTGATTTAGTTTTGGTTGAAACAGTGGAGGACTATAATACTCCTAGAAGCATGGGAGGAGTATGCTACCCCAATGCATGCAAAGCCCCCCGTCTGAAATTTCCATTCGGGACATTTCAAACTAATCCTCTGTTACATAGTTATGTAAATAACCCTAGTCCGACATGGAATATGAGAAGAATATGTATTGTGTATAGTTATAAATAGAGCTATTATAAAATACTTAGTAGCAGATCAGTGATAGATTTTTCTCTCGTGCATTCTCACATGGTATCAGAGCATTAGTGTGAAAAGATCGTTGTGTGTCATTCCAGCGTAACCGGGAAGAAAAAATTTAGTCATCGTGCAATTTTTCCTGTGACCTAAGGGCTGTCTACGTGAAAGTTGCTTTCTGTCGATGTTGTGCAAAAAACCAACACCACCACGAGGTAGATCACCTTCCGGTGACCAACCCCAGAAAATTTCTCCGGTACAAAGGCTGACACGCGCCTACAATATGTTGATGTTGATGATATTGTTATTACCGACAATGATTAGGATGGTATTACTATGTTGAAACATCTCTTTCAGCACTTTCAGATTAAGGATCTGGGCAGATTAAAGTTTTTTTTGAGGGCATTGAGGTCGTCAGTCTAGCTCATGTATTTTGATCTCACAACGGAAGTATGCCTTAGACATTCTTGAGGAGACAGGAATGATAGGTTGTAGACCTGTTGACACTCCTATGGATTTCCGAATTTTAAATTTCGTATATAGGCGGCTGGTTGGTAAATTAAATTACCTCACAGTGACTAGACCTGACATTTCCTTTCCAGTGAGTGTGGTGAGTCAGTTTATGAATTCTCCATGTGATAGTCATTGGAATGCAGTTGTCCACATTCTTCGATATATAAAATCAGCCCCAAACAAAGGATTATTGTTTGAAGATCGAGGCCATGAACAAATTATTGGATACTGTAGATTTGAGAAGAAGGCGGCTTCTTGTATTTTTGTGTTTACATCCCATGAGCAAGGGAATTTATACAAAGCTTCTAATGCTAATTAAGAAAATAAAATAAATCTATACAATCAATTCAGGTATCAATCAGAATAAAATCAGATCTCCTAAATATAATCAAATCTCCTGAAATCATGCTAATCAACACTCCTAAATCAAGTCTCCTTGAATCATGTTAATCAACACTCCCCCTCAAGTTGGTGCAAAGATGTTGCACATGCCAACTTGCAACTCAAAGTATGGAAAGTTCGCTTGTTGAGACCTTTGGTAAACACATCAGCTAGCTGTTTTCCCAATGGCACATGAAACAAACTCAAGGCACCAGTTGTAACTTTTTCTTTGATGAAGTGTCGATCAATTTCCACATGCTTTGTTCGGTCATGCTAGACTTGATTATGAGCTATACTGATGGCAGCCTTATTACTGCAGTACATGGAAAGTTTTCCCTTTTCAGACAGTCTCAATTCCTGTAGTAGCTTTTGTAGCCAAAGCAGTTCGCAAATACCTTGGGCCATAACTCCATATTCTACCTCCGTACTTGATTTAACAACTACACTTTGCTTCTTGCTTCTCCAAGCAACCAAGTTTCCTCCTACGAGCGTACAATAACCGGATGTTGATCTTCTGTCATCTAGAGATCCAGCCCAGTCCGCGTCTGTAAAGGCTTCTATTTGGAGGTGATCATGTTTGGAGAAAAGTAGACCTTTCCCTGGAGCAGACTTCAGATACTGCAAAATGTGAAAGACATCTTGCATATGAGGTTCTCGGGGATCATGCATGAATTGACTCACCATGCTAACTGAATAGGCTATGTCTGGTCTAGTGTGGTAGAGATAAATGAGTCTTCCTGATCTCTCTCTTTATCAACTGATTCTCCAACTCCGCTTTGTAACATGTGATTGCTTTTAATGGGCGATTCTCTGGGTCTGCAACTTGTCATACCGGTTTCTTTCAAGAGATCCAGAATATACTTCCTTTGAGAAATAAAAATTCCTCTTTTGGATCTAGCAAGCTCAATTCCCAAGAAGTACTGCAATTTTCTTAGATCCTTTATCTCAAATTCATGTGCTACCAGCTGCTTCAATTGGGACATCTCTTCTTTGTCATCTCTTGTCATTACTATATCATCAACATAAACTATGAGAAGAGTGTGTTTACCCGTTTGATGTCTTATGAAGAGGGTGTGATCAACATTGCTTTGTTGGTAACCGAAGGAGATCATTGCTTTGCTGAATCTGTAAAACCAAGCTTTAGGGGATTGCTTCAGTTCGTATAAGGCTTTCTTCAATCTGCATACCTTTCCTTGACTCTATGCAATATCAAATCCAGGAGGAATCTCCATACGCCTCTTCTTCTAAGTCTTCGTGAGGAAATGCATTCTTCACATCAAACTGTTGCAAGTCCCAATCAATATTAGCTGCACAAGACAAAAGAATCCTAATGGTGTTCGTCTTTGCAACATGGGCAAATGTCTCTTGATAATCCACTCTATAAGTCTGAGTGAATCCCTTAGTCACCAATCTTGCTTTGAATCTTTTCAATTAAACCATCAGCTTTGTGCTTCACAGTGAAGACCCATTTGCAGTCAACCAACTTCTTGTCTGGTGGTGAAGTGACAAGTTCCCAAGTTTCTTTTTTTTGACAAGGCCTTCATTTCTTCAATCATAGGTTGCTTCAATTTAAGATCTGCAAAAGCTTCCCTCCAATTCTGGAAATAGACAAGGCAAAGGCTTTTTAGGAGGGAGATTAAGAATTATAGTTGATATAGTTAGATAAAGGGTGTTTGGTGGTGCAAGATCTTACTTCTTTTCAGTGAGCAATAGGCACATCTAACTCATTAGGAAATGTTGATAATTCACCGGTAGAAGAAGGTTCAGCTTCGGTAGATTGCATGATGGCTTCTTCTGCTCTATTACTCCTTGAGTAAGTTTTCAAATTAGGCCTATCCAAATGCCCAATAGTCTCCCCCCTGAATTTATTCTCCAATTTCACTTTCTCCTATGACAGTGTCATCAAGAGGTCCAATAATGGAATTAGGTAGGATCACCTCTTCCTCCTTATTGCTCTTCCCCTAAGAGGTGATGAGGTAATATTGAAATAGGGCTCAGATTCTCGAAAGGTTTAATCCATGCTATCAAAAGATCTCCTAGAGGGAGGATGATAACATTTGTAACCTTTATGTGTTGGAGAGTACCCAATGGAAACACACTTTATAGCTCTAGGATCAAGTTTCTCAGAATTTCTAGTGTGGACAAGACAAATACACCCAAACACCTTTGGAAAAACAATATATTCATTCTTACCCTTTAAAGTTTCCAGAGGACTTTGAAAATTGAGGAGTTTAAGTGGCATTCTGTTGATAAGATAGGCAGATGCTAGAATAGCATCCCCTAGTAAGGTTTTGGTAGATGCATGGTGAACATAAGAGATTTTGCTATTTCTAACGAATGCCTATTTTCTCATTCAGCAACCCCATTTTGTGCTCTAGTGTAAGGAGAATTTGTTTGATGGACTATCCCATTGGACTCCAAATAAGCAGCAAGTCTTTTATCCATGTATTCGCCGCTATTGTCAGTTCTCAAGATTTTTATTTTGGCATCAAGCTGAGTACAAATCATCTTATGAAATAGCTGAAAATAAGAGAAAACTTCACTTTTGGCTTTTAACAAATATACCCAAGTCATCCTAGTGCAACAATTAATGAATGTAACAAACCATTGACTACCAGACAAAGAAACAGTTTGGGTAGGACCCTATACGTCAAAATGAATAATCATAAACGGAGTTGTGCTTCTATTATCACTCACAAGATAAGAGTTTCTAGTATGCTTGGCATATTCACACGCATCACAGAATAAAGATTCAAATCGAGTTCTTGAAAACAAATCGGGATATAATTTCTTCAAAACGAAGAATGATGGGTGTCCTAACCGTCTATGCCGCTGTATTATTTCTCGGTTGACATCCTTACTTTCCTTAAAAAGGCTTGACTAGAGTTTTGAATTCTATCTAACATATACAAGTCTTCACGGAATCTACCACTGCCAATCCTTTTCCTTATTTGAAGATCCTGAAAAATACAATGATCGGGAAAGAACTCGATTTTGTAGTTTAGAGCTTTAGTGATGGCACTAACAGATAAAAGATTGACAGGGAACTCAGGGACATGGAGCACGAATGATAATTTAATATTAGGTGTACAAATGATAGAACCTGTTCCAGAGATATGTGTTAAAGAACCATTGACTATTTTAACATTATCTCCTTTTGGACACAGAGAATAGTTTCGAATGCCTTTAGAAGATTCTGCATGTGTCTATTTGCACTAGAATCAACAATCCAAGAATTATAGTGAGCATCAAAGGCAGTACCTGATTGCACATGATTGGATGTGGCAACATTAGCGGAGTCAAGTTTGGCTAGGAGGCGACGGAGTAGTTGAATTTCATCCGAAGGTAAGATTTTTCTAGAAATCGTCTTGAGTGTCTCCATATTTTCTGCCTAATCAGAAGGAAATCTCAAGAAAATTGTTCAAAAGTAATTTGCCTCGCTGGAACCAAATCTGTCTTGACGGAACGAGAAGGGGTTTGTGTTGCAGACAGCCACCAAGAAAGAGAAAACTCGACCTCTTCAATAAAAACAGAATCCTAGTGCTGCGAGGGAGATAACTCGCCTCAAAAAGGTAGTAAGGGCTCTGATACCATGTAGATTTTGAGAAGAAGAAAATGCTTCTTGTATTTCTGTGTTTACATCCCATGAGCAAGGGAATTTATACGAAACTCCTAATGCTAATTAAAGAAATAAATTAAATCTATACAATCAATCCAGCTATCAAATCATATCAAACGGATCTCCTAAATATAATCAAATCTCCTGAAATCATGCTAATCAACACTCCTAAATCAAGTCTCCTTGAATCATGCTAATCAACAGATACTCAGATGCTGACTAGGCAGGATCACCTTCTGATAGATGTTCTACGTTTGGATATTATGATCTAGAGGGAGGAAATTTGGTGTCTTGGAAGAGCAAGAAACAGAATGTGGTTGCTCGGTCTAGTGCAGAAGCAGAATATCGAGCAATGGCCGTGGCAACATGTGAGCTAGTTTGAATCAAACATTTTCTTAAGGAGTTGAAACTTGGTGAAACCAGCAAGATGGAACTTGTGTGAGATAATCAAGCTGCCTTTCATATTGCATCAAATCCCGGTTTTCCACGAGAGAATTAAACACATTGAGATTGACTGTCACTTCGTCAGAAAAAAGATACTCTCTGGATATATTGCTACAAAGTTTGTGAAGTCGAATGATCAGCTTGCCGATATTTTCACCAAGTCCCTCACTGGTCCTCGTATTAGTTACATAGGTAACAAGCTCGGTACATATGATTTGTATGCACCAGCTTGACGAGTAGTGTTAGATAGTTATGTAAATAACCGAAGTCCCACATGGAATAGGAGTAGAACATGTATTGTGTATAGTTATAAATAGGGCTATTGTAAAACACTTAATAGAAGATCAATAATAGATTTCTCCCATACATTTTTACATCCTCTATGTTCTCCTTGCATGACACGGTAACAAAATATTTTGTAGTCACCCCATCCATGCCATCAACTTTTTAATTGCCGTCATCATTTACAAGGTAGTAGTTGAAACACTTGAATCTATAAAGGGTAGATGACGAGAGAGCACCTTTTCGTGGGAGTAGTTATTGTTAAGATCTTAGGGAGGAAATGTTGTAGGAACGATCATTGGTAAGATGTCATATCTGATAAACAATTCTGATGATGCAAGTGTTTAGATAAGTCTGGGAGGCAATACGTGTTGAACGAATGAGAAGCAGAGCTGTGATTTTCTGCCTATTTTTTCCTTACTTCTGCTCCTTATTCTTGTTATTTATTATGTGTCAATATTTTTCAGGGAGTTGCTAGTCTCTATTAAATTTGCTGAACCTGGATGGCAATGGTCCGGTTGCTTCTTGCCAGAACATCTAGGTGATATTCAGGTGAAAATGCGAAATTTTCTCTCTGGTGCCGTGAACATGATACGTGTGGAAGTTCAGACTGCTGATGTCTCTATTAGAGATGATAAAATTGTTGGGAGCTCTCATGGTCAGTCGGGGACAAACTTGATTCTTGTGTCAGAAGATGATACTGGCTTTATGCCATACCGTATTGACAATTTCTCCCAGGAGGTATATTCCTTCTGTGCAACACAGTAGTTTTTGACCTTGTATTAGCCACAACTAGATGGGTAAAATATTCTCTAGGATTTTGGTTACCGTAAAAGTCTTGCTTTAAAGTCATCTCCAATTTTTTCGCCGCTGCCACCCTATTTATGTGACATAATTTGATTGTGATGCAGGTATAGACTTCATTTCTGAGTGATTTTCATCTCCAATTTGCAACCCGCATTACTGTCCATGTTTTCCTTAATTAGAAAATTTTAACATACATATTCACATTAAGTTAGTAGAAATGTGATTCTAATTATGTAATGATTCTAAAAGTTCAAGCTGTTGAGGAGACAAGTAAATACACTATTTATTTAATTGGGTTTTCAACATGGTTTCCCACATCTGAAAAAGTCACCTTATGTGTGTACCTCTTTGATAAAAAACAGAACCCTAGTGTTTCTCAAAAAGGCAATAATGACTCCGATATCATGTGGATTTTGAGAAAAAGAAAAGGCTTCTTGTATTTCTGTGTGTTTACATCCCATGAGCAAGAAAATTTATACAAAGCTCTTAATGCTAATTAAGGAAATAAAATAAATCTATACAATCAGTCCTGCTATCAAATCAAATCAAATAAAAATCAGATTCCCTAAATATAACCAAATCTCCTGAAATCATGCTAACCAACAATCTCCTAAATATAATTAAATCTCTTATATCATGCTAATCAACACTAATGTTACGAGCCTTGCTCATTCCACAGAATTTCGACTAGCATAACAAATTTTTGATTTTCAATTTAGTTATGATCTTTGGCTAATTCACCCTTTCCCTTCGTTGTCTATTCAAGAGGCTACGTGTTTACCAACAAAGGTGCGAAACTTTTGAAACTATGGTCCATTCCTACACTTCTTGCCCTTATGCATGGGATGAACCCTGCTACCCTCATCGTCTCACTATTGAGGTATGTTTTGCTATATTTAAAGCCGAATGATTATTTCACGTTTTTTTGTTAGTAAGGTTTCTCTTTGGATTTTGCAGGTTCCGGGTGAACGTGTTATAGGATCATATGCTCTGGATGACGTGAAAGACTATGCACCTGTATACCTATCCATGACTCCCGAGGTACTTCGCTTTCTCTAATTCAGTTTGTAATGTTTAAGTATAGCTTGTATTCATTATAGTTCTTTTCGTACTTGACAAGAATCATGTTCTTGTTATTGGTATAGCTTGGTGCTAGCTGTTGATATTTTTGATTTGTAATGCAAAACAGAAAATATCTAATGTCCGTATTGGGGTAGGGGTGGCAATTGGGCCGGTCGGGCCCTAAACGGGCCGGTCTCGGGGCCGCGGTCCCAGTACTTAGATAAACAGGCTAAATGTGCTTTTTGTAGGAACCGGCCCAAGACCGGGCCCATGAACTCATTGCCGGGCTAAACGTGCCGGGTTCGCGGTCCCAACGGCTAAGCAGTAATTTTTTTTTAAAAAAAGTTAAATTGAAATTAGAGATAACAGTTACTAATTTTGCCAATTCTTCCGTTATTTTTTTTATCACAATATAAAATACCAAACAATGTTATTTTCTGGTTGAAATTGATTTGGACCGGTACTAGGGTCAGCCTGACTAGGACTAGGTACACTTTTCCCCTCGGCCAGAGCTTTCAGACGTTGATATCTAACGTTATCTTTAGGGTGTTTTTTATGTGTCTAGCCAAAGATCATGTCCCCGACCGCGATCCAATATATTTAAAAGCTAACTGCATACCACAAGTTTTGCACTTAGCCTTATTTTTGGGAACTAGTTGAGTAAAAAATGGCCAAACAAGAGATGTTTCCTGCCGTTTGGTAGGTTCTCTAGAAAAAGTAGGGGCAACAACGGGAGTATCAGATGGGTCATCATTTGGATTAGCGGCGTTATCACTAGTTGGATCAACAACAGGAGTAGGACTAGTAGGTGTATCATCGTCCGGTTGAGTTTTATCAAAATTGATTTTCTCATAATCATTTTCATCAATAGTATTATAATTATTAGAATAGACAGAATTCATTAATTCATGGTCTAAATGTTCACCGGGTGCAATAATATGACAAGATTCAGTCTCGCCAAATTGTAATAAACTATTATCGGTATCAAGAATAGAAGTTGTAGGACGGGTATGTGGTATGGTTCGGGGAGCCGGGGGCAGGGGAGGAGGAACAACAATACCACTAGATTCGCCAATTTTGGATTTTCCCTTATTCTTATTTTTACCAAAAATATTTCTTAAGGAAGACATCTTAATTAATCAAGTAATAGCAAATAAATAAAACAAACAAAACTATAATATTAACACTTAAGAGTTAGAACGAGTTTACCGAATTGACGAACAACTTGTTGAAAATTGATTATCATTGAAGACTTCAATTCACCAACTTCACAATTTTTTCACAAATTGTAATAACCTCAATATTTTTTGACTATTTTTTGGAATAAAGTAAGCAATAGTAGCAACCTCACAATTTTTTCATTTTTTTTTTGATAAAATAAACAATTGTAGCAAGTACAGAAAAAAATTAGAGAGAGATTTTGATAGATTGATATTGATTATGTAAGAAAATGAAAGAATGAGGGGGGTATNATACAATTCAAGTGTACCATCTTCTTTCTCATTTCGAGGAAAAGGTGCGGAAGGAAAAGGAAACAACGGAGGGATCCGAATCGGACCTAAATGGGAATGACATGAAAAGTCTTTTTCAAAACCTAGCATTAAGGGCGTTACGACGATATACGAGAGGAATAGAGAAAAACTCGTGATTGGTGTGGAGGGGAAGATCTGTTTATGATATAGTTCAAGAAAGAGTCGTCTCATTTCCTTACTTCTTTCTAATTCATTCACTTCAAGACTGGTTCTGAACGCCGCGTAACATCATCTTCAACCAACCTCCACCGTACTTTCGGTAACTCGACCGTAAGGGAGAGCATCTTCCTCCCTCGAATATTTATATTTGTTTTTAGCTTGATTATACGGCTATTGATTGAGTCTTTCTGTTGTAGGAGCGATATAAAGGGGTTTCCGTCTAAGTCTTCGAGTCCTCGATTTGGTCCTCTCTTGGAAGTGGGAAGTGAGGGGGCGAGCTCCGTGCGCGAGCAGCGACTAAGCAACATCCAATCTTTCTTAACACTTTGTACACTGGAAGTCAAAGAGTCATTTCCACGCCACTGATGCTGATAAACAATTGTAGCAAGTATTGAAAAAAATTAGAGAGAGATTTTGATAGATTGATATTGATTTTGTAAGAATATGAAAGAATGAGGGGGTAANTACCTTAAATTTCACTTCCTACTCTCAGAACTAGTTAGACGAATATACACCAATAACCTAATTCAGTCAGAAATATTTGCTCGTCAAGAAAGTCTATCAAATAGAGGTGCCATGGTGTATGTTATTTGCAGATGACATTGTACTGATTGACGAGACGAGAGGTGGTGTTAACGAGAAGTTGGGGGTTTGGTTACCCACTCGAGAGTCTAAAGGTTTCAATTTGAGTAGGACTAAGACAGAATACTTGGAGTGCAGGTTCATCGACCCGACGGAGGAAACGGACATTGACGTGAGGCTTGATTCGCAAGTCATCCCAAGTCAGGAAAGTTTAAGCATCTTGCGTCTATAATCCTAGGGAATGTGGAGGTTGACAAGGATGTCACAAATCGCATTGGAGCAGGGTGGATGAAGTGGAAGCTCCGGTGTCTTGTGTGATAAAAATGTGCCACCGAAGCTCAAATGTACGCAATGATGGTTAGACCGACTATGTTGTATGGGACAGAGTGTTGGCCAGTAAAGAATTCTTGTATCTAGAAGATGAAAGTAGCAGAAATGAGGTTGTTGAGATGAATGTGCGGGCATACCAGGTTGGATAAGATCAGGAATGAAAATATCCAGAGGTGGGAGTGGCCCTCGTGGAGGACAAGATGCGGAAAGCGAGAGTGAGATGGTTCGGGCATGTGAAGATGAGAAGCTCAGATGCTTCAGATGCGAGCGATTGGTTTTGATAGGTAGGAGTAGAGTTGGAGGGAGACCTAAGAAGTATCGGGGGAAGTGATCAGGAAGGACATGGCGCAATTTTAGCTTACCGAGGACATGACCCTTGATAGGAGGTTGTGGAGGTCGAGAATTAGGGTAGAAGGTTAGTAGTTAGTCGAGCGTATTTCTGTTCCGAACCGATGGTTTTAGGATTATTCTGGTAGTTTCTGCCGTAGATTGCTAGTAATTCATGTTGTTTTTCTATTATCTTTCGCCTCGGTTTCTTGGTATTCTGTTGTTACAACTTGTTGCTATTGTTGCCTTTTGTTGTTATTATCTTTCTGGCCATTTTTGTTGATATTTCTTGTTTTTACTGTTTCTTTTTATATTTATTGAGCTGATGGTCTATCGAAAACAACCTCTCTATCTTCCCAGAGTAGGGGTAAGGTCTACGTTCACACTACCCTCCTCATATCCACTTGTGGGTTTCCACTTGGTTGTTGTTGTTGTTGTTGTTGTACAAAAGGCCATCAAATTTTTGCTATGTATATTATTATGGATGCCTTAAAGGCATTGACATAGAGCTACAACCAGTTTATCGATTAGTTGAAAAGGAAAAGTACAAAGATGAGAGAGCTCTTCAAAATATATTATTCCCTCCGTTTCAATTTATGTGAACCTATTTCCTTGTAGTCCGTGCCAAAAATAATGACCCATTTCCCTATTTGGAAACAATTTACCTTTATGCAATGATTTATAGCCGCACAAATATATTCCCCTGGAGTCCGTGCCAAAAAGAATGACCTATTTTCCTATTTGGAAACAATTTACCTTTATGCAATGATTTATACCTACACAAAATATATGTGCCTCATTTTATACCACAAGTTCAAAAGTCTTATCTTTTCTTAAACTTCGTGCCTAGTCAAATGAGTTCACATAAATTGAAACAGAGGGAGTATATTCTACTCTCTTTGAAAATGGAAAAGAATAATTTAGGGGGCATTCTTTTTCTTTGGCTATGGATGTGAAATCCTCTTTTAATAATTGATGGCACTTGAACCCTGGATATCTGCTTGTTCTGATACTATGTTAAATTGAGTGTACACGCTTCATCTGAAAACTTGAGATGTTAGAGGACATATACTTTTATTCATTTAAATGTCTTATTAAAAGAAAATGATTTAGGGGGTATTTGGTTTCACATATGTGGACCATTTATCAGTTTTAAAAAGTTGGAGAATGAATTCTTGACCTTAAAAATGGTGTATGATTTAAGATTGTTGGAAATCCTCTGAAAACTTAATGCTCTATACATGATTATAATTTTTTTGCATCATCTTGTTACCGATTGATGAATTCATTTTTTTACTTATCCCGAGAAAATCAAATAGTTTGTGATCCATAACTAGAATATACAAAGAAAATTCTCAATTCATTTTGCTAGAGCTACCCAATTTTAAGTAAGAGACAATGAGATTAAATATCGTCCAATACACATTTTATACGCATATAACAAAATAATAAAAATCAATTTTGGATAATCTGTTTATATAAAGGTATAAATATGTGGTTTTAAGTCAATTTGTACTTGACAAAATCTAGCTTTTGTGCAAATTACTAAGCTGATGTTCTTTTTCAATTTTGAAGCTTTGCTTTGAAATATTGATCAGTACACAGAAGTGTTGGTTACTGATACCTACTTTTCAAAATTCAAGCTGTTTATAGCCATTGAACTGCATTTTCCAGGTTGTTTTAAAACCCTAACACTGAACTGCAAAGGGACTAGAGTGCAATTCGTGTTGCCTATTAAACAGATCCCTTCCTTATTTCTAACCTCCTTGTTGTCTTTTAGTAAACTATTTCTTCTGCTAAAAGAATGTCCAAACCATTCAATTCTGGAAAATAAATTAGGATACATTCTTAAAAACAAAAAATGATGGGAGCTGCATCAAAGTCGTTGCAGCAAAAGGTAATCTAGGCACCAAAGTCCACCATATCCACAATATGAGTGTCAACTAGAGATATAGATGCTAAGATTGATGATTGATCTTAGAAAATTAGAAAAGATTAAAAGGACCAAGTTCAGCAGATGGTGCAAATATCACTAGTTAAAGATAATATAAGAGAAGGTCGTATGAAATGGTTTGGTCGCATCCTGCGTAGACCTCCAGATGCACAGTTCTTAGGTTTGGAACCATAGTAAGTGAAGGTGTTACAAGGAGACGATTTAGACCTAAAATTACATGAAAGGAGGTTGTCTTGAAAGACCTACAATCTTGTATTGATCTAGAACAGATACTGCTTTGTGGGTTTATGTTGCTTTCATCTATTAGTGCTTTCCTTAAGTTTAATAACCTAACCATTCCTTTTTTTCCAAAAGAAAGTAAACTTATCATTCTCTTTATTTTAATCACAATTTGCTCTTTATTATATTGTATATGATACCGTAAGTAACATTTCTCCACTCATTTATATGATAATCTTGTTACCTTGCTTACACATGACTTCTGCTTACCTTTTTCAGAAACCTCAAAGAACTCTTATTGTTTCTGTCCATTCTGAAGGAGCAGTCAAGGTGCATTGATGATGCTTCAAAAGTCAGATACCATCTTTGTTTTGCTTTCTCTTTTGTAGTGACAGTTTATATTTTCCAAATACAGATTCTAAGCATCATTGATTCCAATTGCCATGTATTGAGTGGTATGAAGACTCCACACATCTCTCAGTCCAAAGATAGAAATAAACATGTATTGAAGCATGAAAATTCTTCTGACTGCAAAGAGAGAATATTGGTGGACATTCCCTATGTTGGTATCTCTCTAATAAGCTCTATGCCAGAGGTACCTTCAATTGTTGTAATCAAAGATTATTAAATTGCAAGCTTCAATGCAAAATTCTTTTGAGTTGTCATACTACAACATTTCTTTTGCAGGAACTGATTTTCACTTGTGCAAGAGACATTACAGTTGATTTCACGCAGAGTGTAGATCAACAGAGATTCTCTTTTCAAATCACCTCTTTGCAAATTGATAACCAGTTAACGTGTACACCTTACCCTGTTATCTTATCATTTGATGTTAGTAAGACGATTACTAGTGGAGTAAGGACAGATCTGGAGAGCTCACGGGAACCGGTACTTTCATTGGTGGTGACGAAGTGGAATAATAGATATCTGTCACTAGTCTCCTTCGAGTACATAAGTCTAAGGTCTGTAACTGCTTCCTTTCAAATGTATTCTAAAATCCAAACTCTATCGACATTTATTCTGTTGTATCACTGCCTGACAAGTCTATTTTCTTGCAGAGTAGCAGATTTTCATCTTGAACTTGATCAGTATGTGATCTTGAGTTTGTTTGATTTCATTAAAACTTTATCGTCAAGGTTGCAGAGCAGAGCGTTACAGCACTCTAATTCAACGGAGCATCCTCTTTTTGATGGTGTTTTTACTATGAACATCTCTAACTCCATAGATCAGGCACCGAAGAAATCAAATGTAAATGAATGCTACTCAGTTAAGATTCCTGTGTTTCATGGAAGCAGTGATAGGACCTCTCTGCTACCTATAATAGTTCCAATTGGAGCCCCGTGGCAACAGATTCACCTTCTTGCCAAAAGGCAGAAGAAGATTTATGTTGAGTTGTTTGATGTGGCTCCGCTGAAGTTGACTTTAAGGTAATTGAAATTCATATTGTGTTTTCATGTGACTTTACTGTATGTTTATAACGTTGAACTTCTTCTATAGTTTCTCAAGCAGTCCCTGGTTGCTTCGATATGGTGTGCTTACATCTGGAGAATCTCTTATACATGTAAGGCTATATGATGGATGCTGGAACATTTGATGGTTTCATAGATGTTTAACGTATTTTTAATTCTAACAGTCAGCTTGAGAAACCATCATAGAACAATACTGTTTTATAATTTCGCTCAGCAACTTCATTTATATATGTGCTTCTCAAGTCATATGACACTCACTTTTGCAGAGGGGTCTTATGGCACTTGCTGATATCGAGGGAGCACAAATTCACCTTAAACAAGTAATCCTTTCACATCAGCTTGCTAGCTGGGAATCTGTTCAAGAGATACTAATCGAGCATTACACACAACAATTTCTTCATGAGATGTACAAGGTAAATGTCTACACACCTTGACTATCTTCCCGTAGTTAACCACTAAAAAACTCTGGTCCTCCTTCAGTAGATGGGGAGATGGAGAATGAATTTATCTCCAAATAATCAGAGGCTAGAACATCCCAGTTCTGACTTCTGTATCAAAATCTACCAGAATTTCAGATCCCAGTACAATGTTGAGGAGCTGAATGTAGGCTTTGCTTACACTATATATCTGATCATGCATCAATGTGAGCTTCAAAGAAATTACACAAGCTTCAAGAAGTCTCATTATATTCAGTTTGTAGTTTAATGTGAAGGGGAGAGTAAAGAGAGGTAGTTCCAATATTAGTCAAAGTTGCTCAGTAGAGATTCTAAATATTGCCACCCATTTTCAACTGGTTTTCTGGTTTGAGGTGGAAAAGTTGCTGACGCTTTCTGTCTTTGCTGGCATTCCAGAGATTTTCCGGTCTGCTTTAGGATTCCGTTAGCTGTGTGGAATGGAGGGTAAAGAGAAAGGGCGAAGGGCTTATCTTATGTATCAAACGAAAAAAACATTTTGAATTGGGTAGATCAAAAGAAACTTGGAATGTTGTGCATAGACTGATCGATTAGCGATCCAACTTTAAAATAACTGATTTCAAGGTACCACCTAGATTGCATACTCTGTGTGCTGATTATCTTTTTGCACAGTTGTTTACAGAACTCTATGATGTTTTAGTCAAGAAAATTGTACCAGTACCTCATTGTTGGTCCCCATTTTTCATCTTCATCGTTGTAACACCCAATGATGGCATCTGGCTTTTAGCAAATTTTTCACTATATTTCGGCATCCCAGACCCTCACATCATAGTAATTTTATTACAATCAACTATCCAAAATGCCTTTGGCTATAGCTCAAGCTCAACAGTAATAAGTCTTTGTGAAAATGCTTCTGAGCTTCAATCCATTTCTCTGCTTAATATAGTATTCGCTTTGTCCCATTTTATGTGGCACACTTTCCTTTCAAGTCTATCCCTATCAGAATGACATATTTCTTTATTTGGAAGCATTTTAACTTTAAACTTTCAGTTTTACCCTTACTGAGATGATATATACCTCACAAATGTCTATGGTTTGTTATAGACCATAAGTTCCTACTTTCTTTCTTAAATTCCGTGCCCAATCAAACACCATCACCTAAAATGGGACCGAGGGAGGATGAAATTGTACTTGCTCTTAGACCAGGAAACAATCCGATGCTGCTTTTTTTAAAAACAAAGTGTAGTAATGTCATACTTTTTGTTATGGTTCATGAAATAACCTTCCCTGTTATATGTTTCTTGGTGTTGATCTCATGGAAGTGTCCATTTGCTTTATATTGGTAAATGATTTGAAGAGCCAAACAATGAATTATTAGCAAATCTGATAGTTATTCATTTGTAAACTGAATGACTTGTTTCTTGCAATAGTGAGTTATCCCACATCAGTTGTGGGATGTGGACTTGGGTTCCTTGTATCGTCCTGGGAAATCCCAGCGCCTGATGATCCAGTATTTCTTCTCATGGCATTAGAGTTAGACCCATGATTCTTGGTTTACCCGATGTTGGGGCCCCATATTATGTTGTCCACGCTGGGGCTTGTGAGGGAGTGTTAATTTGTCCCACATCGGTTGTGGGAGGTGGACTTTGTCTTCTTATATGGTCCTGGGCAATCCTCACCCTCATTAGCAAGCTTTTGGGGTTGAATTAGGTCCAAAGTACATTTCTTCAGTCTTCTTAGTGGTCATGGGCATTGAAATAGTGTTGTTCGCTACAGGTATTTGGTTCAGCAGGAGTTATTGGTAATCCTATGGGGTTTGCGAGGAGCATGGGTCTT